TATATACACACACACACAAAACGTACATGAATAGCAGTATTATTCATAATAGCTCCAAAGTGGAAATACCCTAAATGTCCATCAACTGATGACAAAATGTGGTATATTCATACAGTGGAATATTATTCGACAGTAAAATGGAATGAAGTATCAGTACTAAAAATCAGAGATTAGGGTAGGAAGTCTTAAAATATAAACTGTATTATTTCCATCCTTATTCAAAGCAGTTTTAGTAGCAGTCCAACCTTAGCCTAGACAAGACTACCAGAACCTTTTCTTTTTCTTTTTTCTTCTCTCTGGCTCTTGCCCTGGTGTTCGCTCAGAGTCAATGGGTAGGGAGAGTACAACTAAAAGTGTGGACTTTAAAGTATTATTAAAGATAAAGAACTTCTACAGACCTTGAAACACTCACCTTTTTAAGTCAGGAATTAGGAGATAGCAATTTGAATGTTAAATAAAAACTAAGGTCCTATTTTCAGTTTTATTTAAAAAGCAATTGTTTAGCCTTGGATATTATCTGTCAACTGAGTAACAAATTACCTTAAAACTTAATGGCTTTTTAAAAACAAACATTATCTCATAGTGTTTGTAGTCAGGAGTAAAGAACACCTAGCTGGGGGTTCTGGCTCTGTGTCCCATTAGGGTGCCGTCATCTGGAGGCCTGACTTGGGCTGGGGGTTCCAGAGCACCAGGCGCTTGGTCGATTAATGCTGACTGTCCAGAGTTCTCACTTCCTTGCCATACGGACCTTTCTCCATATGGCTGCTGTGTGTCTGCCCTAGAGTGAGTGATTCAAGAGAGAGCAAGGAGGAAGCCACTATGTCTTTTCTGATGTAGTTTTGTAAGCCCCACACTATCCATCCCTTTTGCCATATTCTGTTCTTTAGAAGCTAGTCAGAGCCCACGTTCAAGGGGAGGAGAACTAAGCTTCACCTCTGGAAGGGCTGGAAGGGAGGGTATTACAGAACTCGCAGACGTATTTTAAAACCACCAATGAATGCTTGAACTTCTAAACTGATATATACATTTCACATGAATTTTGCAGTGTTTAACTGTTCTTCGGAGACTAGATGTTTGGCTGTCTGGTGGAAATGACCTGTGTGTGTGGAACCAAAAATTAGATCTCCTGTGTAAGACTCATCACCTTTCTGATACAGGTAAACATATTAAGGCAATTGTGAATCATAATTGACGGACTGTAAAAGACGTAATCTTCAAAGAGACTTTCCATGAATACAAAGGACAATGTAGGTGATTTTTCTTTTCAATTCTGAATATAACATGTAACCATATTTCTCCAATTCAGGTTAAGGGTAGTGTAAAATATATTTCCATCCCAACTGGGAAGGAGAAGACCTCCCTCCGGCTTCTCCTTTCCTTCTAACAGAATTTCTCAAAAACAGTCAAGAAAAACCTCATGTATGCTCTTGGGCCATGTTCCTAAACTGAGTTTGATGAGGACATTAATACCTGGAAGCAGACCTTTATGACTTACAATAGCATTTTCTTCTTTATTTGTGGGGTTGTTGGATGTAAATAGAGTTCTAAGGATGACCTCATTTTACAATTGGTTTTACTGTAAGAAGTTCATTTTGAGACTTACAAAATTGTACTCTCAGAATTCTGTTGACATGTATTTTTTTTGTTTTGACATTGATAACAAGGATCTTAAAAAAAAAACCTATTCAGAGGAAAAGTATTTAAATATAAATAAGTAGATTTAAATGATAATAACCTTGAAGTCAAGTGTTAAACTATTGACTTTTTGTTTTTAAAATAATCAAGTGAATCCATGGATATCCTGGGAAGAATATTATTAGGCATATTGTTGATGTCTTAAAGGTGGTGAGAGATCTGTGAATTGAATTCATAGTTCATAATTGAAACTAGCTTATCTTCCACATAGATATTAAACAATATCAGAAAAATAATGTGGTATCTTAGCCAAACTAAATCCATATCTTACTAGGATTTATAGTTTAACCTCTCAATTCAATATTTGATCACTAATATTTGAATCTAGAGTATACTTTCATATTTACTAATACCATGAGTTATATCTCTTTATTACATACACATTTTCCTCTCTGTTTCTCACACCAACCTGTGGTTATCTGTGAATTTTATTCCATGAATTATTAGTGATATGTGAAATACTGAAATCAGGGTTAAAAAGAACCTTTTGTATATTAATGGAATTAACTACCTATTATTGCCATATCCCTTTCTTCTGCAAGTTATCTGTGAATACTGTACATTAAGTAGTCACAGTGTTGCCCAGTTTATCAGTGTCAAGAGGTATCAGACACCTTTGAGGGAATCTACGGGAAAGTTTTGACTGACAGAGACCATAGGTTACCTTTGATGAGTGATTTTGTGATTTGTTTTCCGAATTCCAGGATACCAGGTAGCCAGCAGTGCTCTTAGACCCTTATCTCATGAAGCTCCTTTCATAAGCCTTGCTTGATTAATGAGCAAGCAGGATTTTTAGGGGCAGTTTTTTTGTATTTGGAAATAAGCAAAGATAATCTTAGTATGATGCAGTGGAAAGAGCCTCCTAGAAGACAGGATATCCATGCCCTTTCCACTAGTATGTTCTGTGATTCTGTATATTAAGTTGCTTCTGGATTACTGAGTTTCTAGTATTCTCACTTCACAAATAACTTGATAAACATTTTTTAAACAAGCTATTTTCTGCATCTAGAATTCTCCTCTTGGTACCATTGGCCCTGCTCTTCTATCTCCTCTATTTTATCTGAACCACTATTACTTCCCATTCTCCACCACCACTATCATATCTTCCTCCTTGAAGATGGGAAAATACAAAATATACTGTTAAGACAACTCTGTGAGGAGAAAAGATTTGAACCAGAAATATTCTCCAAATCACAAGCATGCTAGTCTTTTGGTAGGTGGGAAGAAAATTAGTATTTTCCAAATTTGCACATATTTTATAAATTACATGTATGTGTGTGTATATACATCTATTTCAATATTTTTTTCAAAAAAGATTTTTGCTAATACATGTGGTGGTTCTGAATCTAATATATCAATTCTGTAATTCTTGCTGACAAAAATAATAATTGTAATATATCTTAGCAAGCTGTGGTAACCCTAAAATCATTTCCTGATTCAGCTATAAAAAGATACCCTATGCTTGCATAAATAAGTAAAATGTGGTGGGATTTTGAATCTGATAATCCAATAATATAGGCATTTTGTAAATGTATTAATTGATTATAAACATGCTATTTGAAGGCCACTTTCTTAGCTGTTGACTTATTTACTGCCAGAGAGCCCTCCCAGGCTTCTTAAATTTACATTGAGGAAGACACCAATTTCACATTCATTTGAGCTAGTCATCTTGTAAATGGGTAATAGGGTAATAGTGATTTTCTTAGGGGTTCCCTATTGAGTAGGTTCACCACAGTAGTAAAAATGTTCAAAGAGTAATAGTAATGTCTTCCAAAGGTCTCACATACTTTTCACAAAATTATTTTCCATGTGTAAGCAAGCAAGGAAGTGTGATACAGCAAATTGTATGTACTTTATAGTTGCCACTCCTTTTAAGGGAAATAACTGACATAAAACTGAGAATGTTTTTTGTTTTTGATGTAATCCATGAAGAAAATGATTTGGCCTTTGTTTTCTATATTTTTCAAGGGATCAGTGCTTTGATTGAAATACCTAAGAACTGTGTTGTGGCAGCAGTCAGCAAAGAACTGAGTGAGTATGAATGGGGCCCGTATTCTTGGGGGTAGATTTATGCCATTTCCCTCAGTAGTGGGATAGCAGAAAGAGAAAGTGCAAGAGAAATTTTGTAAATGTATTAGTTTATTATGAACATGCTATTTGACAGTCCCCTTCTTAGCTATGGACTGTTGGCTAACCCATTTACTGCCAGGAAGCCCTCAGTCAAGAAAGCTGTTTGTGTTCACTGTCTTATGAATAGAATTCAGGTGCTGAGAAGTGACAGAGTAAGTAAGCATGCTTCTTAAAATCTTTTTTTAAAAGAATTTTTCTAATGTAGCCCAGAGGGCATTTGGTATTGCTGTGTTACTTTTTCCAGAGACTAGTCATAAGATTTACTGTGACAGTCTGTTGGCAATTTGCAAATGCTAGTGAGACGAGCTATTTGTTTGCTATTTACTAACTTCTATCTGCAGGCTCCACCTGTTTGCAGCCAGGTTTCCCGTTCTTCAACTGACCTTTCCATGTATAATCATGTCTGAGAAGTAATTTTCTAGACCCTGTGCTTATCCTTTCTTTTTGTAAAATATTAAAGATAATATAATTTTTTTTTCTTTTTCCTTCTTCGCAGAAATTCAGTTTTCCCATGTTCTCCATCAGGCTGAAAAGATGTGTATCTTTCTCCTCTTGTAGCGACCAATCACTTTGCATTTTTCTGGTTTTACTCTTACTCAGAGGTTCTCAAACTTTAGTGTGCATCATAATGACCTAAAGGGCTTGTTAAAAACAAGATTACTGGGCCTTGCCCCAGAGTTTCTAATTCAATAGGTCTGGAATGGGGCCTGAGCTTCTGCATTTCTATCAGGCTCCCAGGTAGTGCTGAAATTGCTGGTCTGGGGACCATACTTTGAGTACTGCTCCCCTAAGTATTTTGATCCACTTCTTTCCAGCTCACTACTCTTGCTCTGTCTAGGCTCTCCTCTCCTCTCTTGCTGCTCTGTTGCAGTCTCCTAATTTACCTTCCTTCTTTACTTTAGTGCTTCTCAGATGCCTTCTCCTCTTCTAGTTTAGGGCTTTTCAGATATATTCTCCAGTAGATGCTAGAGAGAACTATTGAAAATGCAGGCTATTCCCCTACTTAAAAGCTTCAGTGGCTTCCTGTTGCCTTCAGCAGTTGTTTCTATAGCTAGTTGGACATAGCCCTAGAGAGCATGGGCCTTCAAGGTTGGTAGTGGGTTTAGAAGAGTCTTTTTTTTTTTGGTATCATTAATGCACAATTACATGAGCAACATTATGGTTACTAGACTCCCCCCATTATCAAGTCCCCACCACATACCCCATTACAGTCACTGCCCATCAGCCTAGTAAGATACTATAGAGTCACTACTTGTCTTCTCTGTGTTGTACAGTCCCCCCTTAAATGATAATAACCTTGAAGTCAAGTGTTAAACTATTGACTTTTTGTTTTTAAAATAATCAAGTGAATCCATGGATATCCTGGGAAGAATATTATTAGGCATATTGTTGATGTCTTAAAGGTGGTGAGAGATCTGTGAATTGAATTCATAGTTCATAATTGAAACTAGCTTATCTTCCACATAGATATTAAACAATATCAGAAAAATAATGTGGTATCTTAGCCAAACTAAATCCATATCTTACTAGGATTTATAGTTTAACCTCTCAATTCAATATTTGATCACTAATATTTGAATCTAGAGTATACTTTCATATTTACTAATACCATGAGTTATATCTCTTTATTACATACACATTTTCCTCTCTGTTTCTCACACCAACCTGTGGTTATCTGTGAATTTTATTCCATGAATTATTAGTGATATGTGAAATATTGAAATCAGGGTTAAAAAGAACCTTTTGTATATTAATGGAATTAACTACCTATTATTGCCATATCCCTTTCTTCTGCAAGTTATCTGTGAATACTGTACATTAAGTAGTCACAGTGTTGCCCAGTTTATCAGTGTCAAGAGGTATCAGACACCTTTGAGGGAATCTACGGGAAAGTTTTGACTGACAGAGACCATAGGTTACCTTTGATGAGTGATTTTGTGATTTGTTTTCCGAATTCCAGGATACCAGGTAGCCAGCAGTGCTCTTAGACCCTTATCTCATGAAGCTCCTTTCATAAGCCTTGCTTGATTAATGAGCAAGCAGGATTTTTAGGGGCAGTTTTTTTGTATTTGGAAATAAGCAAAGATAATCTTAGTATGATGCAGTGGAAAGAGCCTCCTAGAAGACAGGATATCCATGCCCTTTCCACTAGTATGTTCTGTGATTCTGTATATTAAGTTGCTTCTGGATTACTGAGTTTCTAGTATTCTCACTTCACAAATAACTTGATAAACATTTTTTAAACAAGCTATTTTCTGCATCTAGAATTCTCCTCTTGGTACCATTGGCCCTGCTCTTCTATCTCCTCTATTTTATCTGAACCACTATTACTTCCCATTCTCCACCACCACTATCATATCTTCCTCCTTGAAGATGGGAAAATACAAAATATACTGTTAAGACAACTCTGTGAGGAGAAAAGATTTGAACCAGAAATATTCTCCAAATCACAAGCATGCTAGTCTTTTGGTAGGTGGGAAGAAAATTAGTATTTTCCAAATTTGCACATATTTTATAAATTACATGTATGTGTGTGTATATACATCTATTTCAATATTTTTTTCAAAAAAGATTTTTGCTAATACATGTGGTGGTTCTGAATCTAATATATCAATTCTGTAATTCTTGCTGACAAAAATAATAATTGTAATATATCTTAGCAAGCTGTGGTAACCCTAAAATCATTTCCTGATTCAGCTATAAAAAGATACCCTATGCTTGCATAAATAAGTAAAATGTGGTGGGATTTTGAATCTGATAATCCAATAATATAGGCATTTTGTAAATGTATTAATTGATTATAAACATGCTATTTGAAGGCCACTTTCTTAGCTGTTGACTTATTTACTGCCAGAGAGCCCTCCCAGGCTTCTTAAATTTACATTGAGGAAGACACCAATTTCACATTCATTTGAGCTAGTCATCTTGTAAATGGGTAATAGGATAATAGTGATTTTCTTAGGGGTTCCCTATTGAGTAGGTTCACCACAGTAGTAAAAATGTTCAAAGAGTAATAGTAATGTCTTCCAAAGGTCTCACATACTTTTCACAAAATTATTTTCCATGTGTAAGCAAGCAAGGAAGTGTGATACAGCAAATTGTATGTACTTTATAGTTGCCACTCCTTTTAAGGGAAATAACTGACATAAAACTGAGAATGTTTTTTGTTTTTGATGTAATCCATGAAGAAAATGATTTGGCCTTTGTTTTCTATATTTTTCAAGGGATCAGTGCTTTGATTGAAATACCTAAGAACTGTGTTGTGGCAGCAGTCAGCAAAGAACTGAGTGAGTATGAATGGGGCCCGTATTCTTGGGGGTAGATTTATGCCATTTCCCTCAGTAGTGGGATAGCAGAAAGAGAAAGTGCAAGAGAAATTTTGTAAATGTATTAGTTTATTATGAACATGCTATTTGACAGTCCCCTTCTTAGCTATGGACTGTTGGCTAACCCATTTACTGCCAGGAAGCCCTCAGTCAAGAAAGCTGTTTGTGTTCACTGTCTTATGAATAGAATTCAGGTGCTGAGAAGTGACAGAGTAAGTAAGCATGCTTCTTAAAATCTTTTTTTAAAAGAATTTTTCTAATGTAGCCCAGAGGGCATTTGGTATTGCTGTGTTACTTTTTCCAGAGACTAGTCATAAGATTTACTGTGACAGTCTGTTGGCAATTTGCAAATGCTAGTGAGACGAGCTATTTGTTTGCTATTTACTAACTTCTATCTGCAGGCTCCACCTGTTTGCAGCCAGGTTTCCCGTTCTTCAACTGACCTTTCCATGTATAATCATGTCTGAGAAGTAATTTTCTAGACCCTGTGCTTATCCTTTCTTTTTGTAAAATATTAAAGATAATATAATTTTTTTTTCTTTTTCCTTCTTCGCAGAAATTCAGTTTTCCCATGTTCTCCATCAGGCTGAAAAGATGTGTATCTTTCTCCTCTTGTAGCGACCAATCACTTTGCATTTTTCTGGTTTTACTCTTACTCAGAGGTTCTCAAACTTTAGTGTGCATCAGAATGACCTAAAGGGCTTGTTAAAAACAAGATTACTGGGCCTTGCCCCAGAGTTTCTAATTCAATAGGTCTGGAATGGGGCCTGAGCTTCTGCATTTCTATCAGGCTCCCAGGTAGTGCTGAAATTGCTGGTCTGGGGACCATACTTTGAGTACTGCTCCCCTAAGTATTTTGATCCACTTCTTTCCAGCTCACTACTCTTGCTCTGTCTAGGCTCTCCTCTCCTCTCTTGCTGCTCTGTTGCAGTCTCCTAATTTACCTTCCTTCTTTACTTTAGTGCTTCTCAGATGCCTTCTCCTCTTCTAGTTTAGGGCTTTTCAGATATATTCTCCAGTAGATGCTAGAGAGAACTATTGAAAATGCAGGCTATTCCCCTACTTAAAAGCTTCAGTGGCTTCCTGTTGCCTTCAGCAGTTGTTTCTATAGCTAGTTGGACATAGCCCTAGAGAGCATGGGCCTTCAAGGTTGGTAGTGGGTTTAGAAGAGTCTTTTTTTTTTTGGTATCATTAATGCACAATTACATGAGCAACATTATGGTTACTAGACTCCCCCCATTATCAAGTCCCCACCACATACCCCATTACAGTCACTGCCCATCAGCCTAGTAAGATACTATAGAGTCACTACTTGTCTTCTCTGTGTTGTACAGTCCCCCCTCTGTGCCCTCCCCACATTATGTCTGCTAATAGTAATACCCCTTTTTCCCCCTCTTATCCCTCCCTTCCCACCCATCCTCCCCAGTCCCTTTTCCTTTGGTAACTGTTAGTCCATTCTTGGGTTCTGTGAGTCTGCTGCTGTTTTGTTCCTTCAGTTTTTCTTTGTTCTTATGCTCCACAAATGAGTAAAATCATTTGATACTTGTCTTTCTCTGCCTGGCTTATTTCACTGAGCATAATACCCTCTAGCTCCATCCATGTTGTAGAAGAGTTTTAATAAAGGAACAGAGTTCTAAGGATACACTTATTGGGATTTTAGTATATCTTTACAAATATCTCAAGCATTTGGAAAAAATATTTTAAAGTAGTATGAATAAGTTTTTCATTGGAGATGGGATTTTTAATATGTTAAGTGCTTCTCACTTAATGATACGCTGGCTTTTTGAGCAGAGATAGAATTTCATCTTCTTTGACCATTTTAATAAATTATATCTATCTTTTCATTTAGTAATTTTCAAGTTGATAGCACCCACAGAAGGAGCACTAAAATGGGATATTCTAGAAGTTAAACGTCTCCTTGATCACCAGGATAATATTCTTTCATTGGTTAATGTCAATGGTAAGCTCGCTGTGTACTTGTTTCTTTTTAAAATTTTGTACTTGTTACCATAACCTGTTCTGAATTTAAGTCATTTTGTCTGTTCTGGGACTCAGGAATTACCATCATTAAAAGAATGCTTTAGATTAGTAGGGATTGGCACTCTCTTATACTCTGAGGTTTAAGCCAGTGGAATGGAAGTTTCATAGATTAGGTAGGTCTAAGATTTAGGCAAGAAGAAGAATGGAGTGGGGCAGAGAAAAGAGGTGATTGCAGGAGAGCATAATCTCTGGCGCCCTGTGGTGGCTGTGTGGTGATTGTCTCAGGCTGTGTGTACTAACTTGGTAGATTTCAGCATTTTTAGCAAATTATTCCGGTTGGTTCCTCTTTTGTTGACCACACAGTACAATATTATATAGCAAGTTATGCACTTATAGTAGAATGAGCAGGATTCAAGCCAGTTGTAATTGAAGACTTTCAGAGAATAACAAGGAAGTCAAATCAAAGTCTGCAGAAAATGGGGTGTATCTGTCCTTCCTCATAGTTGTGCGTTTTGACATCCTGTGTGGCTTCATAATTATTTTAATGAGTATCTCTTACGAGCTGAATCTGACATCAGATCCAGGAGAAGATAGATAACAAACCACAAATCCTGGGATTTAGCTAGTTCACTGTCAAATGAAGTAACACCTTATATTATCATGGCTCTGCTGGAGGATCTTTCTTCCAAGGTCAGATGAGAGGAGGACCAGTGGCTTCAGTTTAATAGTCTGGAGGAGACTATAAAAAGGTCCTGTAAGGATGCCATGAATATGATGTAGTGGGAGGACTGTAGTGCATTTCCTGACCTGAGACCTGGGTTGGTTCTTTTTTAACAATACTTGTATAAACATGAGGCAAAGGGAAAGAGGGGCGCAGACAGCATCAAGTGGAGTCTTCATTTATATGCCATTCAACCACATTTTCAGATACATCCGTGAGAATGCCCTCCCGACCCAGCTCTAAAATTCTTCTCCCTAAAAGCCATCTTGTTGTATGGTCCATCTGAAAGTCTTCCTGAGGACCAGCCTGTCTGGGGATAGAGTAACAATGCTGGGAGCACCCCTTTATTTTTCTCTGTGAGCTTTCTTTCCTCTTGCCATGGGTGGAAGCCCAGAAGGCAAGTTATTTGGGAGACCCTCTGACACTGAGCCTTGGTCTCCCAGGTGCAGGAGCTGCTGAGAAAAGCGCAGTGGTGTTCTGGCCCATTACACTGGTCAAGCGGAGTTGTCCTGATTGCATGTGAAGTATCGGTACCATTGGCCCAGCATCTTTCTTTAATGAAGGCGATGGGATGTGACTGAGGTAGCCTTAACTAGGGCACTTTTGCTGTGTGGTGTACAGAGAAGCTTGTAATAGTTGAGCCAAGAAAACTTTTTCAAGTATTTCTTTGCCAACTTCATAAGGAAAGGAAAATGGAAAACTAAAGCAAAAAAAAGCATTAATGAAAATTACAGAAAGCCCCTAATACTTTCTACTTTGTAAATTCTACAACCGTAAAGTTACTCTGCAGATAATAGATAAGCCAGAAGCATATGTAGGAATCATTATGGACAAGACTGGTGAAATTTGAAAATGATATTATGACAGTCTAATCCTGTCCACAGGCATGTCTGCTATGCTGCAGATTTTGGTGATCCTGAAATGATGATGTTGTACAGTTCCTAGCCCACTCTCAGCCCTGCTTCATTGTCCCCACCAATTACTAGTGAAGGATGTGGCCAGTTACTGGGTTTGTACCTCACAGGGGGAGTGTGTTTTCAGTGAGGTGGCTATAGGGCAACCTTAGAATGGTACAACACAACTCTCACGAATGTGGATAATGAATACCAGGTTTGCCATAGAGAACTGAATGGCTGGGTAGAAGGTTTTGTACCTTGTATGACATACAAGATAACCTTGCTTATCTCTTCTGGCAAAAGGCCCTGCGTGCTTCTTTGTTTTATTCCTTTTTTTGTTTTGTGCTGACAGCATGGTTTGGTAATCACAAAGTATTAGTACTTGTCAGGGATGGGTAGACAGATGCCAGGTGACATTTTCATACTAAGTGACTTTTGATTCTTACCTAGAATGAAAATCCATCCACATATAATATATCATTGAGGTTGTTGGTGTGAAACATTTTGAGTGGCCTGTTTGGGAATATAAATAATTCACACAGTGATAAACTGCACTGACTCGGGCGAATGCTGTTATTTTTTTTTTAGTGAAAAATCCCAAGTGAGCACAAATGCTTTGTTTGTGTTGCATAGATGAGCCATAGGCACTCGGAGTAGTCAGTCCGAGCGGCAGCTGTGTGGTCAGTAGGCTGTTAACTCTGCTGTGATTGGGACTTGGAGCATGGGAGGATCTTCACCCCTCGACTTCTCTGGGTCTTTTGTAGTTTGTCTTAGTTGGCCCCCTAATTTCATTTTCTTTAAAGGTTTTAAAAACTTGTTATTATACAAGTAATACATAGTCATCGTAGAGAAATGAGAAAAATGTAAAAATTAAAGTTAAAATTGCCCCATCATGTAGTACTACGCACTGGTTCATATCTTTCTAGGCGTAAAATTTACTCATGTTTAGGTCAGAGTAACGTGTGTATATGTATACATAAGGTTTGCTGTTTTATAACAGTATGTCATGAATATATTTCCATATCAATATAAATACACTTCTACAACTTAATTTTCAAAAACAGCATTACTATTTCATTTTGTGGATGTCTTATGTATTCAATCCCCAATTGGGTGTTTAGGTTATCTTCAGATTTATAATATTTGTGTAACAACCTTGTTATATACCTCTTTTACATACTTTCCTCAGGATAAATTCCTAGAAGTGGGATTGTTGCATCAGTGAGTTCACATTTTTTTTAAGGTTTTGATACATATTAACAAATCTGAGAGGATTGTACCATTGTATGCTGGGACATTACTAGTGCATGAGCAGGCTAATTCCCTATGCTTTTGCCAGCATTGGGTATTCTGTTTTACCATCTTTCCCAGTTGGCATGTCAATAAGTAGTATCTTAGTGATTTTAGATTTCTTGATTATTAGTGGAGCTGAACATCTTTTCACATGTTAACTCACCATTTATATTTCTTGTTTAGCCTGTTCTTGTCCTTTGCCCATTTTTTCTGCCAGAGTATTTATCTTTTTCTTAGGGATTTCCAAAAACTTATGTGTCAAGTATAATAAACCCATTTTGACATCTAAGTTTAAAATTTTTCCCAGCTTTTCATCATTTAAATGTATGATTTTTTATTTTGCCAGGCAGCTTTTACTCAGATCTCTTTCCTCCCACCCTGCCTCCTTTAGAGCCTTTTAGTGTTCAGTAGTCACCAAAAAGTATCTACATTAATTTTCTTCAATCTTTTAAGTACTTTTAATGTTTTAATGTATTTTAAACTTACTTTGTATATGTGAAATAGCAGAAAAAATACATATATTGGTCTCTGCCCCCAGTTCCTGGCACAGAACTCCTAAAACTCTTTCAGTTTCCTAAGTAGCACAGGAGCACCTTTTGGTCTAATAGTTCCTGACACAGACCTTCTAAATCCCTTGGCATTCTCTGAGTGATAGGAGTGTCTTTTGTTCTAATGAGGCCACTCTTTCTTGGGGGGCTCCTGGTTGGGGCTGGTCACCAGAAACACCAAGCCACGGTGAGATTGTGGTGTTTAGAGCATAAAATTGTGGTTTTATAGAGCATTACTGGTAGGTAGTCCATTTGTTTTCACCATTAGCCTAGGTAAAATAATCTCTAATGAGACATATATGACCTCTGCTTAGATTTGAGTTTTGTAAGTGGCTCCCATGTTGGAGAGCTGATCATCTGGGATATCCTGGACTGGACTGTGCAGGCCTGTGAACACAACTTCTGGGACCCATCTCCACAGCTGGACACCCAGCAAGAAATAAAACTCTGTCAAAAACCAAATGACATTTCTATTCATCATTTCACATGGGATGAAGAGGTAAAAAAATTCAAGAAAATACAAATACTTGCCTTTTTTAATAAACTCAGTATCTTTTTTTTTAAATTTAATGTCCTGATGGATATAGAAAGGTATCATTCCACATGTTCAAGCGTGTTTTAAAATGTACTTATGTTTTTCAAAGATTGCACTGTCTTTCATTAAAAAAGCATTTTAATCTTAGCACCTATCCTTGAGGTAAGGAAGTGATTAAGTGGCCACAGGTTTAAAAGCTGCATTGAAATTTTGTGTTGGATTAAATAATCTCCTAGGATTTGAGTAGTGCTTTAAATGGTTTCAAGAAACACTTTGGGAAAGAATCCTTTTGAAGATTCAGGTACATTTCCTAGAGAGATAAAGGAAATTAAACATTTCAAGAATGTTTTTCTTTTGGTCACTAACATCCTGGGGGCAGGATGATCACATGAGGATCACTGATGTCAATCCTGTAGGCCTTGGCTGTGTTGCTCTTGAAGTCCTTGGCATCTTTTTTTGGATTACTGAATCTAGGCTCTGATCTCAACGTCTTTTCTTTTAGCTTCAGGGGCTCAGGAATTGTGTTTAAAGGGGAGTTAACTTTTCAAAATGTAATCACTAAAAATGTTTAAGAGCTGAAACCTTTGAGGAGAAGCGTTGAGGAATGCTTGTATCTCACTTTATTTTATGCCTTAATATAGTTGAAATGTTCTAATTGTATACATGCTATTTTTATTTAAAAATTTCAATAATAGTGTTCTGGATGGAGAATGTAGGACCCATTTTTTGTTTTCTTTGCACCTCTCTTTAAAAAACAAAACAGAATAAGATAAGAATTGGATAAAGAACACTAATATACCCAAAGACTGTTTCTTTGTATCCCAACTTTATTTTTTAAAAATTAAGCATATGTGATTAAAATAGGGTCTCAGAAAAGATGCAAACTGGATTTCTCAGTTACAGCCTATATATATACGTTAATTTCATACCTTTTCCTCACTTTTGTAAAAATTAATATTTAAAAAGTTTTTTTCATTTTGTGTTCTTTTTAATCTCAGAAATTTTGATTCATGCTTATGAATTGCTAATTTTCCTTCTTTTATAGGCATTTGTTCTTTTACAGGGGGGCCGTTAGTTATTGATGACAGGTGATTGATAATGTAACTCTGTTGAGTAAATGCTGCCCCATAAGCTCATTATTATAATTCTGTAGTGGTGTTTATAATTTTCTTTGTGACCATTGATAAATCACTTAAACTCTGCACAGATTTCCTGCTCTGTAGTATTAGTTTCCAGGGCTTCTTTGAATTGAATGCTACCCATAGAGCTCTAGACTTAAGCAATTTAGCCAGCTGTTTTCATTAATGCCCCTGGCACTGGTGCTCAGCTTGCTTTGCTAAATGGCAGAGTACCAATCCTGAGGGTTGAGGGAGTCATTCCAGATTTAGACTCAGGTATGCCTTGGGGGCATGATTTGGTCCAGATACCATAGATCTAAATTGGATTTATAATGTTTAAGACCACATGAGAAGAGCTCTTTGGTGAAAACAGGGAGGCCTTTTGGGGGTTTTTGAAGGCTCTGCATCACTGGGGTATCTGTGGAGTAACCATGAATGATTATAAGACAGGAAACCAGGTGATACGGTATGAGGAAAGAGCAATGGACTGGAGTAACATGACTTTGATTCTAATATTGTTTCTAAGTATTAATTTTTTACATGACTTTGATTTTCTTAAAATTTTTACTTGCTCATATGGAAAATGGCAATAATACTTGCTTTTTTCCTATTTTAATGAGATGTTGTGAGGCTGAAGTAAGATAAATTTAGTGAAAGTGCTTCCCAAAGCTTAAAGTAGTTTGAGCAGAAATGTATTTCTAATACTACTTTCAGAAAAATGTTTTTGTGACACCTTCAGAGGATCTCAAGATGATATTGCCACTTACAGCATGTTTTTTTGTATCTTTTATACAAAAGATCTCTTGATTGCTTAATATGTGGAGCAGGTAATTTTGCTCATATTTTCCAAGCAGAAGAAGCTGGATAATTTTCCCACGGGTTATAGTGTTACATGAATGAAAACCTAGGTTGTACCTCAGCAGCTTCCACTGTAGGGCCAGTCTGCCAGCCATAGCTCCTTTCTCCACCTGTCATTTTTCAGTGAGGAAGAAAGTAATGCTAAGGGGTATAACATATAGAGCTTTCTCTGTACTAGTAGTTGCATCCTTCTACCTTCTAAATGCTCTGAGCTTTCCTTTGTGCTTTCATATTTTTGGATTTTAGAGGGCAGGACTATAATTTGGGCTAAAGCTAGGAATAGGGGAGGTAACAATGGCTTTCTGATATCACACCAGAACTGGAAATCTATTATACCAGTTAGTGGTAAGTACTAATTATATGCCCATTTTTGACCAGCTCCCTGTCCCCCCACCCCCTGCAGAATGTATTTGCTGCAGTTGGAAGGGGTTTATATGTGTATAACCTTCAGATGAAGTGTGTGATTGCCTGCCAGAAAACTGCACATGACTCCAGTGTCCTGCACGTTGCCAAGCTTCCAAACAGGTACAAGTTCCCATCTGTTCTGTAACAGATGAAAGAAATTCATAGTTCTCAGGGCCACTGATGTAATTTCTCAAGTGGTGAAGTTTCCTGGCTCTGTGGCTTGACCTGCTGGGTTCTTTTGGAAATGGGGAATATTCCATGGCTGTCTCACAGAAGAGTTTGTGACAGTATGTTACTAATTTTACAAGAAGCAGGGTTCAAATGCATTACAGTGAATTACCTTTTTACATAAATGCCAAATTTTAAAGTATCTCTTAGAATAAAAAAGACTGTGAAACACATTTCTGTGTGCTAATTTTTCCTTTCATATTTTTTTGTTGCTTTTGTTTGTTACTGGCCAGCATCAGATGGTAGTCTCCATGTTGGCTAAGACTACTGAGGACTTTCTTCTTTTCTTCTCGGGGTATATTTGGCTGCTAAATTTCTGGGGATAAAATTATATGAGGTGAATAGTGTTTTCTATGCAGGCTTCTTTGAGTGAGAGGCACCCTGAGAAGAGAGAGAGAGAGGAAGGAAGGGGACTGCCCGGGATATTGTGAAATATAATTCATTTTCCTGAATGCATTTTAAAAAACAGGTGATAGATTTAAGACATTTGAGCTGACCTAACAGTACAATGTGCACCTTTTACTTGGCATTGTAAAGCTATGTTCAATTGTGATTTTTCTCAGCTCCCGCCAGGAGCTGAATAAAAGCAGTTAAAAGCCCCACTGATTTCTGTCATTACAGACTTAACATTGACCCTCCTTGGTGCTCTTGTTTTTATACCACTGATTTCTGTTCCCACAGGCAGTTAATCTCATGCTCAGAAGATGGCAGTGTACGCATTTGGGAATTACGAGAGAAACAACAGCTTGCTGCTGAACCTGTACCAACAGGTGTGTGTCTTTTCTCAAAAAGGTAGTCTTTTTCCTCATATGGAAGGCAGTTCGTGTGTAACCACAAGAATAGTATACAGTGTGCTCCAGATAAGCCTAAGATGTTTATATGCAGCATATGGTAATTGGGATCTAAGATTCACACTTTAATGCGTAACTGGCTGTTCATTTCAATTCACGTAGGATTTTTTTAGAGGGGAGACTGTTATTTCCCAGTAATCTGACCAAATGGCCTAATGAAGTAATTAAACATTTATATTGTATATGATTCTGCCTGATACACCAACTATGTGCCATCAGATGTCAAGGTAAAGTGTTCTTCCAGCCTTGAAGCATAATCACTATCACTGAACTCAGTTTATGGGAAAACACACTTTTGTGTTTATATTGTAATCTCATAAACTCTTGACTTTCAGGTGTTCGGTTTGAAAAATAAAATCCTGGTTAGTTAGCAGCCTTTGCATAAGAAATCAGATATGGGTACCTCTGGGGTTTCTTCTGGTTATCTAGTCATAGGCTGTTGTTTTTGGACACACATGTTGCTTTTGTCTGCCTTTTGTTGATATATCTGAGTTGGACTTTTTGAGACTGCCATTCAGGCCTTTTGTTTTTCTCCTCTTTCATTCCCAGTACCTGTCTTTTTTATCATGTTAATATACCTTCACCAGTGGGTGCGTAGGGGCAACAAAAAAGAAATGAGTTAACAAAGTTGGTTAGCTAAGAAAGATGAAAAAAGAAGTAGCATATGAAAAAGCCGAGCATAGTGTCTGGTGCCATTCCATCAGCCTTTGATTGAAATAAGTACCAAACACCTTGGCATTTAAATTTTCTGTTTTTCTGATCTTATCCTATGATTATAAGTAAAGAGCACAGAAATGGAAATGACTAAAATGATTGTATTTTTCTAGGTTTTTTTAACATGTGGGGGTTTGGAAGAGTGAATAAACAAGCTAGCCAACCTGTTAAAAAGCAACAAGAAAATGCCACTTCATGTTCTCTAGAGCTTATTGGAGATTTGATTGGACACTCATCATCTGTGGAGGTAGTGTTTCTTATCGACATATAAATGTCCAGGGAATTTCCAGCTTTTGTATCTCACTGCTCTTCATTTGGTTGGTCTCTCGAAGACTTACACTTTGTCTTCTGTAGGTTTTTGCTGAATGTAAACAGTGGACTAGAATAGATTATATAGCATGTGGAATTAGGATCTCCCTTTAACTGAGAAACATTGGAGAATTTGGAGTTCACATGTATTTTATTGGTAGCCATTGTGCTTTAGTAATTAGGCAGGTATAAATGATTAAGGAATGCAGGTCTGGCAGAACTTCTGACAACAGTCTTAAAACCAATACTTGAATTAGATTATGGTAAAATTCATAAGATAATTTGGAATTCATGTACTTCACAACAATAGCTATTGTAGTTCTGAAATTGAGCACTACTAAAAGTATTTAGTTAAAATCCAAATAATTGGTCTTTTATATTTTTTAGTATTTGTGTTAACACTTAAAATTTTTCATGAGAAATGATATTGTTACATTCAGATACAAAGAAGTCTCCAATGTACATATCTTACAAGCACATAAGCTCTTTTAGAATTAGCCTCTTGAAATTCCTATAATCAGTAGTTTTAAATTTCTTTGCAGATGTTTCTATACTTTGAAGATCATGGACTAGTGACATGCTCTGCTGATCATCTTATTATTTTGTGGAAAAATGGAGAACGAGAATCTGGATTGCGTAGTTTAAAATTATTTCAGAAATTAGAGGAGAATGGTGACTTATATCTTACTGTCTAGCATAAGGAAATTGAATATGTGTGCATGAACTTTGAACATCAACTATGCGGTAATACTCTGAAAACTATTAACATATTGCTCACTTAAGTTTGTAGTGTATTTTTTTTTTCTTGTCACTCCATAAAATTCCAATTGTTTGAATTCTTTTTTGCATATCTACAAACCAGCAACAAATTGCTTTTTTGGTATTAGTACATCCACCAAAGAAGATACCAGAAATTCAGTTTTTTTAAGTTCTTTCATTTAGCCTTTTTGGATTTTGAAATATGTGAGTCCATAAAATTCTTTAACTATACCCATTCATTCTTTTAAAAATTTATTTAAGGAACCAAATATACATGATACTCATAGAAGATATTTGGGGAGAAAAATGAAAAACCCACTGAAGAATGGGTAGAATATAGCACATCTTGAATTTAGACCTTGAAAACTGACCCTTCCTTCTCTGGAGCAATGAAGATTGCATAATAACCGCACTCTGTGCTGTTGTTAAAGTGGTGAGTGCTGTGTTTTAAGCATAATTTGAACCTGGGTGGAGGTGGAAATAGAACTTCTGATGAATGCCACAACTTTGCTGTTATCTCTGCCTTCTATTCTTCAGTTTTCTTCAGCGTCTGTTTGATTAAATATATATTTATCACAAGGGTTCTTTCCTGTTCTTTGGTAATTAGTTATCCGTGTTCTATAGAGAAAACTTGAGTTTCTCACTGTTTAACTTTTAAAAAAAAATCCCTACCTTACAAGGATGTCTTTTTTACCAGTGTGAATTGGCCTCAACAGCTATTGGCACTGGACCAGCAGCTGCCCCCTATCTGCCAGGAATGAGAGCTTGAATTGTAAGGAGTCAGAGCCTGCAGCCCAGAGTGCCTGATGCATCTCACCATGGACTGTACTATGAACTGCTTAAGAACAGGCTTCACGTACATAGTTTCTTGCAGTAACCACTGAGATTTAAGCATCTTCATCACCCCAGGGCCTTAGAGCACTCTTCCTCCCTTTTGGAACTTGAGAATAAAATTAAGAAGTGTTCCACGCATTAATAAATGGGTGGGCCTGATTGTGGAGTTAATTCTTTAAGCTGCTGATGAAAGACTCCTGTTAATGTAAGTGCAGGATGGCTGATATGTCACAGTCCTGATCCTTCTCAGAAAACATTTCATGCCAATTTAGTTGGTCATCATTCACCTGCTTAATGGATTCTTTATAAATTGTTTTTTCTAGTTTACCTTTGACAGGTGCTTCCACAACTAACTCCAAAGACTGGTAGAGCTAAGGTCGGCTATACCAGAACAATGTTATATGTGTGGCATGGAGGCCAGTCAGGTAAGGCCCTGCAGTTGGTTTGCTCGGTGATGATAATGGAAATAGAGCTATGTTAAGACTGTAGTCAAAGAGGACAGGAATGAGAGAGAGAGAGACTTATGACTACCACTTGAGGAACACCAGATAATGTTCAGGCATTTCAGTTTTAATTCACAATGAAAACAGTTTCCTGAAGAAATATGTTAAAAAATTTTGCTACTTCCTTTATAGAACAGAATGATATGAATAGGAACATTAACACTGCCTTTAGCCTACAAATCATTATCATGGCCTCTTGGACTCCCACAGGCAGCCATCTCACGTTTCCTCCTGCAGATGGGGGTTGCCCTTCAAGCCAGGCAGACATGCATTCTGGTCTGAGTGCCTTAGCTTTACTCATCACTTTAGTTAAGTATCTCATTTTCAGACTTCCCTCAATAAATGGACTTACCCGTTACTAGTTAGCTTTTTTCTTTGGAAATTCTGAATTTGGTCATGAGTTTGCAAAAAGTTGTTTTCTTGAATTGTGTAGCTGCTTTATTTCCTAATATGTTCTGGTTAGTGTTTTGTGATAGTGGTACAAATCACAGGTGAGTTTTGAGAGCACACAGTACCCTAAGAAACTATGTCTAGAAGGAAGCCTCCAACCCATTCACCAGACTTGATGGTTTTTGGTTTCATGAATGCCCTGGGGTCAGACCTGGTTAGCTACTCAGTAGTTATATATGTACTGCTGCTAAAAGTTGAACTTTAAGACAACATATATGCATTTTTTTCCATTTCCTAGCTTAACTTTCAGTGTTGTTATATTTGCAACACCAAAGGTACACTGCGTAGTGTGCTTCATCATTTTAAAATACCCTTATTACCTCAATCTTCAGCTTTATTCATAGAATGAAGTGCCTAAACTTCAGGGGCATTGCATCATCCCTTCCATTTATCTTTCAGTGGGTTCTGATTGAACTGATGAGATTTCTTCATTGCCCGTAAGACTAACCCATCGTGACTCTGAAGGCAGGCAAATTTTAAAATCTTAAAGAATGACTTAAATTTTAGGGTCATTCTGGTCCAGGTAACTATTTTGTGACTTTCTTCTTCTGGTTAAATGGTAATGTGACTTCCCTTTGTATCAGATAATATTGCATTTTTCAAAATTAATATGGCTCCCCTCACATACAGTGTTTTAGTAAACAACTCAATCTGAGGAAATTATAATAGTTTGTACCCGTCTGCTACACATACCATTCGAAAGGCTGTATTTCTAATAAATTGACTACTTGAAAAAATGTAGTTAGCAATTCAGTATATTAAAGAGCAGAATTATGCTAAAGCTTTAGTACCTGGCAGTCTTAAAGCATTTAACATTTAAGTTAATATGAAATTAATTTGAAATTACAGGGAGTAAGCTGTAACATTCATATGGAAGATGTCAGATATCTGATAAATGCTACTTACCAAATGGAACTGCAAGTGAGATGATGGTCAGGAAAAAGATTATCCTTGCCTCAAACAAGCTTCTGTAACCTAGACAAATTAGTTATCTCCTTAAAATGGGATTTTGACATCCTGAATTTAATGTAGTCTGAAAACAAAGTGTGTGGCTCATGAAATAAACGACACTGAAGCAAAAATTTGAAATTACAAAAAATTTAGGCCAAAGAGGTAAATAAAAACAGCTGTTGGGAATGAAAAATGGCTGTAGGAATTTAGTTACAAGTACTTCACAAAGCATTTTCACCACATTTACATACGACAGCATTACATACAAAGCTAGTCCTGTCCTGACCAAATGCGTTCTCTAACAAAAATAACTTATATTTCTTGGCATGGAATCGTCATATATATATTTTCATTTTTTGTTACAAAACATAGAAAAAAACATTGGCACATTACATAATGATAAGTCATTCTGTTCCTCCCATGTACATGTTCTGCATTCCAGTTTTCACTTGAAAAAATAACTACTGATTCAGTCTCTGCTTGTACCTCTGAAAAATGCAGCATGGAATACAGAGAATTTGAAAGAAAAACAAAGATTAATATAATATGTAGAGAAGGGTAGCTGATAAAGGAAAATCTCAAGTCTGACTTTATACAGATCACAGTTGTGAAAGAGCTGTATAAAAATATGCACTTGTGCTTTAGAAGCTTTTAGCATACAGTGAATAGCTTAAAATAGTATTTACTGCTTCCCCATATACCTATGTTCTGATATATTTACATATCTTGCAATCTTTTTTTTATATCATTAAAGCGAAATGGCGTGATCTCAAATATAGATGATAGGTTAAAAACATCTGAACCTTGAAACTTCCCCTGTCCCTCCCCAAACACGTATGTATGGATGGTACATTGCATGACATACTCCATGGACTAATCCCCAGGAAATTTAGATTGCATTAATAAAAATTTTAAACAGCAAGTATATATAAATTTTTTTTAAAAAATAGCCTGTCCAAGGGCATTCAGATTTAATGGCTTTTATATAATACACTGCCTCTGTAAACCAGAAACAAGGAAAGATCATGGATTTCCCCACCAAACAAGATGTCACTCCCTCCCCCAATCATGGATGGCTCTCTGTTAAGAATCCCTTTTATAGGAAAGAGGGCGGTAGAGGCTGCTGCTGCCAGTCTAGAGAAGGCACTCACTGGGCCAAGGCTGTGTTCTAACTTGGGTGTCACACCATCAATCAGAAGAGCCACCACGGAGGCTGTGAAGCTCTCATTTAACAATAATTTGGTCCCAGTTGTTTTGCTCATTTTATATAGTTTTTTCCTTAGATATTTTTATGAGCCCTACACACCAATGCTCTTGAAGAAAACAGTTACCAATGATGGTGACGTTTATGGTAAGAGATGAGCCCAGAGACACCAGTCTGCTGCTGGTGTCCTGCTGTAGTGGATCGGTTCTGTGGTTTGAGGTGGACACACAGGATGACAGCAGGGCAAAGGATTTTTCCATGGATTTGTTCTGTCACTAACTGATTGTTCAAAAGAACTTATTTTTCTTCATGGAACATAACTTCTTAAAAATGGAATTTGGGGACTTCAAGGACAAATATTAAACATTAGCTCCTTAACCTATATCTGTCCTTTTCATTATTAAGGAAAGCCTCTTGCTTACACTACTGTGGTTCACAGTGCGCTTTGTAGATCAAGAGGTCCCTTCTCTGCCTTGGCTTTAGCTGTCAGATGGAAGCCTCAGGCTTTTGCACTTTAGGTCATCTAATGTCTTCCAGTGTTTGTAGTTATCGGCCAGATGGTGCATCAGGGCTGGCAGATGTGCAAAGGCTGCAAGAACATAAAAGAATCAAAAGAAGCCTGTCTGTTAGATCCCAGGAGCATTTACAAGGCTAGGGCTCTGTGGTCATTTAGCACTAGTTTCTGAAATACAAACAGATCCTTTTAATTAAAAACTGAAAAGCCGTTTATCAGTAATATCAAAAGAACTGTGATTCCAAGTAGTCTTAATACAGTTGTGTTCTTTCTAGAGTTTTCCCCAATGATAGAATAAAACTGTCAGCTTTGGAAATATGTCCTTTGAAGAGGTGAAGACTTGTTTATCTAGTTACCAAATATCCATTGAGTTGCATACATAAGGTTCAGTTCTGGGGACGCACAGAGTGCACATGCACCCCACCACACCTGGCCACAAACAAGGGGCGCTGACCAGCACGCCTTCAGGCCCAGCCTATGTCATTACAGGTAATCATAAGGTCTAACAAAATATTCTGTGTGAGTTACAACTATCTTACCATCCCAAGCATCGAACATGTCTGTTATGAAGTAGTCAATGAAGGAGATTTGGGATTTGGGGATGCTACAGGTATTCCGGTCAAACACTGGCATCACCACAGGTAGCCCCTGTCTCTTCTCTTCATCAGTCTGTGGGAAATAAGAAAACATGCAGGACTGTAGGGCACAAGAGGAGCTACCATAGTAGCATGCAGTTTCTCAGAACAGCCCTGTGCAAATGGATCATCATCCAATTGTATATATGAAGCAACAGGTCAGCCAGGTCCTGAGGCTAAGTCAACATTAACCTGATGAGCTGCAGTGACCACATTCAGGTCTTCTGACTCAAGTACTGCAGCCCTTATGGAAGCATCGATCTCAGGGTTCATAACCCCTTTTCTGAAACCTTCATTTTTGGAAGGTCAAAACTATTTTCAAAGTAATGCTAATAATACTAATTGATATTCACACTGAGGGTGCAGAAGCTACAGTGAGTAAAACTGCTGATGCCTTAGCATGAATCAGGTAACTGGTACCAAACTGTACCAATAGTCATTGTATTACTGTCACATACTTTCAGTTTAAAAAGAAAGCCAGTTTCACTTAAGAATGTCCTCAATGAAGCAATAAATTATTAATCTTATTAAAATTTAACCGTTGTGTATATGTCTTTTTAACGTTCTATGTAACACACTGGGTGTACACATAAAACCCTTGTGCTGCACGCCAACATGACAGTGGGCCTGAGGAAAAGCTCTTACACCATCAAGCTTAACTAGCCTCATGTTCACAGAACCCTGCAGACCATGCAAACTATTGTTCAGCTCTGGATACTGGCCATGCAGCTCTCTATACGCGTGTGTAAATCTAAGTATTTTGCACATTAAAGTATACATTTATACACATCAGGCCACAACCCGCTGAACTGAATACTAAGATCCACATTTCCTGGTGTTGTGTTGAGCTAGAGGCCAGCTGATCAGAGACCTCCTTTGTACATCTCATTGGCTTAATGAACAACAGTACATTGCTTTTTGGGGAAAGGACACCTGAAGAGAACTTAAAAGAACTGAAAAGTGGTTCTTTTCTCATTCCCCAGACTTAAACTTGGAGAGTAACTAGGGGTGGGATTTCAAGTGTTCTCTGGGGTCTTGGGAGGTCCATTAATGGCCTCCTACCAGCTTTTGGCTCAGCTTGCTCATTTCAGGTCAATCAGGCAGCCTTAAAATACCCACTTCTGTTCAAGGAGTAGTTTAGAGTTCTCCCTCGCCTCCCTTCTTTCTGCAAGCTCAGAACTGCCTGTCCTTATTTTATTCAGTTTAGGGGTTCTCTTCCCAGCCTTGAAAGCTACAGTTAACTTACCGAGTCCTTGGCGGGCCAGTCCCCCTACCAGCCCTTCTGGACATCATCAGCTATTCCTTTATTCTGCCTTAGTGGCAAATTCCAACCATAGCCTCCCTACCCCCACCCCCCACATGCATTTCTTGTAGATATTTTTGTGTTTGCCTTTCTGTCACACATACATGTATCAGTCCTTAAAGCCTCTCTTCTGGAAGTAGTCCTCTTTCAAAAGACATCTGCAGTCTACTGCTTTCTGGATTTTTCTCCTCAAACTCCTCTTCATATTGCTGAAATGAACTATATATTGCTGCCCTCTTAACATAAAAATTCTACATTCTCTCCTTACCACTTTTGCTAATAATGCTTTATTCTCTCAGGAAGTCCTTTCCTATACCTTTCTTATTCAACAATGACAGAAACCATCTCTAAAACATTTCCACAAGGCCCTTCTTTAATCTAGGAAAAAAACCTTTCTGAACGCTGACAGCACGGGACACCTACTTCCTCGGGAGAGAGTTTCAGGGTTTGCCAGTGTGTGGCCCTCTGCACCTACAGCTCTTTCCTCCTACTGTATGAGCCCCATGGGGAGGGATGGGCCATCCTCATGTCTATGTTTCCACAGTGCACCACGGAGGTGATAACCTAGTGAGTGAGTGGATGATCTCCCAGTTTTTGTGGAAGAACAGGTTCTAACAATTTGAGGAGGAAAAGATACTTCCACAGGCTCAATTCCTCAGCCCCTAGAGTCTAGTTAGTGACCAGCCACATCAGTCAGTCTCTTGAGGGAACCAGAAGTCTATTGCAGGAAAGGGTAAGCCATTTACTAATTTGATTAACTTACTCAGCTGGAGAATCCCTAGAGTTCTATGACCTGGGGCCATTCCCTGGAGAGAATTGGAGTTTCTCTATATACCTGTGCAAAATACTCCTCAGAGATCCTCCCAGCCCACTCGATGCACAGGTCCAGGGGCCGGCACGGGTTGGCCACATCAGCACACTTAATCATCATGCGCTTGATCAGGATCTGGTTTTCAGGAAAATTCTTCCCAATAGGGTTGCATTCACAGTCACTGCCCTCAATCTGGAAAACAGATTGTCAGATCAGGGTTGGTTCAAGGTGACGGTGAAATCCACAAGGACTAACTGATCAGCATTGAATTGTGATCACCCAGGCACACTTAGGTATGATTGGGATTCAGGTTTTCCCATCCTTAGATATATTTTTGTTAAAAACAACCACCCATCTCAATCAAAATAACATTTTAAAAAGGTCAAAGTCCCTATCAGCACCCATCCCCCTCACTCCCATACTCTTCCCCAAAGGTAACTGCTATAAGCAGTTTTTTGTTTGTTTTTAGTAATTTGGTATGTAATATTAAAGAAAGAAAGCTTTTCTCCCAGTTTTATCAGGACATAGGTAAAAGCAGAATTAAAAAAAATACATTAAAGATAGAGGAATAACACACATGTGATCCTTCAATTATTTCTTTATTTATTTATACTTAAACTTGCCAGCTCCCTCTCTTCTATGACCTGGCCCACCCCTACCTCACCCACCTCCTCCTCCTTTATTTCTTTCTCTTCAGGCATCTGTCTCCTTGTTCTTCCCTGGCTGCTCTTCTAACTGAGGTCGGGACAGTGAGCCATGTAAGCGTTGGGGTAATTAGGAGCAGAAAGTGGGCCAGGGCAGGAGCCAGGTATGTTAGGCCATGTATGAAGAAACTGGTCATACACTAGTAAACCTAGTAATACATGTCGGGTCCTCAGCCGAGTGGCCAGGTGTGTGAGTTGGCTTATGGAAATACAGCAACTGCACAAAACCTGGAAGACTGCTATTCTGTACCTTCAAAGACCCCATCAACTTGTGTTTATTAACTCTCCAGGGCTCTGCCACACTGAAAGAGTACATGACATTTAAGGGTTGTTTGAGATTGTACCTATTTATTAAACCATCAGTGGACAGAATTATGTTCTGAAGGTAGTTTTGATTACTTAACATTGGGAAGATACTGCTTGCTGTACATGCTGTGGTAAATGATAAACCTCAACACAGAGTTGGGAACTTACTTGTCTAGGGGAACTTCCCAATTCTAAATTCTGTGATTCTGCATGATTTTTCCCTAGATCCCTAGATCTTTGCTTTCATAAATCCTATGTGTAAGGAGAGGGCCCTGGCATTAGGCCGTGGAATTCTTGGGGGATGGAGCAGAGCACAGAGAGGGGACATTGTCCCTCCATCCAGGCTTGTCACATGATGGGTTGGTCCTACATAGATAATCTCCTTACTGATCATCAAGTTACTTTCAAGACAACCATCATCCATCCATCCTTGTATGCAGCTTCTCAACAGGAATGAACAAAAAGCTTTCCTAATTTATAGAGCAATGAACAGCTTCACGGTTTCAGAGGGCAGTTGATTGCATTTTAAACAATAGAGATGTGCACCTCTGTTTATATTCTTCAAACTGGAATTTGTAGAGACCTCAAGGCAGGATCAAAGTATTTTGGTAAGTTTTAAAGAGGAAAAACAACTTTCGCTTTTGTGTTTAGTCACTGCCAATTTGACTAGTTTTTACTGATACACTTTTAACAAGAATCACCAGGAATGTAGTTCTTTAAGGCATCCAATTCTGAGGTATCTCAAGATCTCTAAGAACAGAGATTTAGAAAGCTTTGGATCCCATTTATGCCAGTCCCTGCTCCCTGCAGGCTCCCATCATACTCTCTGGGCCTACCTCCTTTCGTCACTAGGGCTTTATCTCAGGGCCTTTCAGGGAGCTCAGAGTTACTGGATACTGTCAATTGATTCTCTTCCCCAAGGGAAATAAGAGGCCAGTACTTTTCAGCCCTTCTTTACCAACTCCAAGCAAATAGCCACCTGGAGGCCAGAGTAGGTTCTAATGGTAATATGCTCTTAATGTGTCATACTACATGGAAAACGCTTACCTCAGCTGCCATTGGCTTATTGATGCTGTTCACAAATTTGTTCACATGTTCAAAGTGTTTTGTCATCTCTGTTGCTAAAACCATGTCAATAATAGCCTGGCGCAGTGTTCGATAATGGTTCCTAAAATAAGAGGGTGACAAAAGGTTTTGTTCACATGATGTCCTGATGTAAAACTGTTCTCTCTTACCGCTTCACCACACTTCCCACAATCTAGGAGGAAGCTGGGGGTGGGGGGAGGTGTGCGGGGCACAGAGTTAAGAAATTAGTTCAGAAAAAATGTTTATATCCATCTTCCCAATAAGCCAGGGCTTGTTAACACTATTGCATTTTCCCCAATGATAGCTGACCCTTCCTCACATTATTTATAAGGAAAAAAAGTAGCTGTCACATGGTGGGTATTTATTTTATAAGGTGATTCCCTTCTGCCTTCCCTGGGCAACCTCCGGACAGCAAGGTGGAAGGAAGCAAATTCCCCCCTTACAGAGTGGACACCGCCTCCTGCTGGGCTGTCCCGCTGCGGTCAGTGCAGTGCTTCTTACTACAGGGAACTGTCATTATTCCTTTCAATGACAGCATTGGAAGAATGTTTTTCCAATAAGTAATTATCTAAATTACAATTAGATACAGGTTGTAATGGATGGCGCAAAAACCCTGCCCAAAATTACTGGCCAGTTCCCTTCATCTTTTTCTAACTTAAAGAGTCCGAGTAGGGAACAGAATAGAACTGGCTATTGAAATGAGTTCTTTCTGTGAAAGTTTCAAAAACAAGTCAGAGATGGAATAACTGGCCTCCATATTTTCTCAGATTTCTGGAGCCCACACTGATGGGTTCATGCTGACAAGCGGTCCTTGGGGCCCAGTGTGCTCTGCGCTCCTGCGCTCACAGCCGTTCTCATCAGGACAGTACGGCAGCTGGGGGGGGGCCTGCCCCACCCTGTGGGCTCTGGCAGCTCTGCTGGGACTGAAGCACAACACTGTCCCATGAGGTAGTATTTTAAATGACCAAAAATTGAGCTGGGGAAAGATAGGAAAGGATACATTTTCTTTGAGGTACACAAAAGACAGGTGCTCTCCTGGGAGGGTAAGAAAAGATCTGCTATACTTACAAGGAATACAATCAATATTTATAGGGTGCTCTCTAGAGTGTAAAACATTTTCATGAACTCATTAAACACCAGATGAGATTCAAAAAGATGAAAGCAATCTGAAAGTATAATCAGGTTTCTAAGGGCAGAGTTACTATTTTACTGTCTGGCCCACAGTACTATTCTTACTCTCCCTCCCATAAGCAGCAGCTAAGTACTTGGAGAAGTTGGGGAAAACTGAGTTCCCCACTTAGATTCACAAACCTGAGCAGAAGCGCCCGAGCATAACGAACCTGTCGATGTTCCTGAAAATGTTGCATTTGCTGTCCTTGACTGTGAGCTGGAAGGCCAGGGCTGTGTGGTGGCTCTCCAGGACAGCGGTGTCATTGTAGAGCACGGCGAGCTCACTGCCGGCATTGCACAGGAAAGAGTTGGTCCTTCCCGGGTGATCCACGTCATGGACGGTGGCAGCGATCAGGGCTGCCACCTCGTCCAGCTGGCCAAGGCTTCCCTGGGGTCAGGGGACAAGGCTGAGCATTACCCAGTGGGTGTGAGACACTGTCATCCATCCCTGACTCAGGAGCGGACAGACCAGGGCTGCGGGGCTATCAGAATGTTCTCTTAGCCCACTGAGCCTCCTCTGATTTCCTAGAAAGTTGAAAGGCTGCCTAGGACATATCACCTTGCTGTGCTGTGGATTATCTGGAGGGAAACAGAAATCTGAGCTGCAGTTAAAATGGTTACCTAAATTATTTTCCTAGGGTCCACTCATCCCATTTGTTTTGCAGGAAGAAACAAAACAGGCCTTTTCAAATGCCTGCTGAGTAGCATTGCCATGACTTTTCCATGAGCAGAGGGAGCAGAAGATGGCCTGTGACACCAATATTACTTTGCCTATTTTTGAAAAGATTTTGAGGGAGTGGTAGTATATGGCACAGAAAAAGCCCTTCACACAAGCATAAAAGTATTAGACCCAACCAGTAAAAGGGGCCCATGGACAAAGAAGAATTTTCCTGGGAAAACTGAGGCTAAGGGGGCTCTTGTGGTTAAGAACAAAGTTCAGCTCTGGGCTAGCCAGTAGCAGAGGGAGGCCCTCTTCCAAAGCTCTCATAAGATCAACACAAACCAGAGCATGAGGGAATACAAATTTTTCTCAGCTCAGCTTTAGGTGAAGTTACCAAATGGGCTGCTGTTATACAAGAGACATTCTAGTGTATGAATGTATTCATTTGGCAATCATTTATTAGATGCCTACTGGGTACCTGCAGACATGCACAGCTGGAGCTATAGTGACAGATTACACTGGCATGGCATTAATGGAGTTATCCACTAGGGAAGTAACATAAGTAAACACACAAATAGAAGTAACTTATTGTGAGCTGGGCGAAGAAGGAAAGTTCAGATCCTTGGAGAGTGTGACCAGGAAGCCTGGTTCAGTTTAGGACAGTGCTGTCCATTCAACTTTCTGTGATGATTAAAATGTTTATATCTGTGCTGTCCAATACAGTAATTCCATGTCACATGTCGCTACTGGACACCTGAAATGTGACCAGTGCAACTAAGGAACTGAATTTTTTCATTGTAGTTGAATGTTAACAGCCACATGTGGCTAATGGCTGTCTTATCCACTGACAGCATCGAGAGGGTAGGCAGGAATGGCTTCTCTAAGAAGTGATTTTTATTCAGAAGCCTGAGGATAAGCAGGAATTAGTCAGGCAAAAGGTGGCAAGGGGGAGATTTCTGGGCAGCGGGAATAGCCCATATGCTCCTCCTGAAGCCAAACAAATTTGTTTATTGAGGAAACTTAAAAGAGCATCATTGTGGCTGAAGGGCAGTCAGTGAGGGAAAGGTGGTCCCCAAGATGAGGCTGGAGGGGTGTGTATAAGTTTCCAGTTGCTCTCAAAGGCTACGGGAGAAAAAAATGCAGACTGCCTCTCAGCCACTTGTGGGTAAGGGACAGTGAGTGTGAGGCTCAGCCCTGAACGCTGTCCCTGCCAGAAGGAAACCATTTCCCTTTTCAGTCCTGACCTCCTGGAGCTGGTGGGCAATCCTGCGGTGGCCCAGGGCACACAAACAGGGCGCCTGAGCAGGGACAGAGGTCGATGCTGTTCTCTGCTCTTCTCAGAGATTGTTTCTGGCATGCCCAGGGCAATCAAACATGGCTGGCCCCACTGCTGCTGGTCAGGAGAGGCTGTGGTAACCTGCAGGGGCAAGTCAGGACCCAGAGCTGCCCAATCTGGGCTCCACTCACTGATCCCACCTGTGCAGTGGGCACCTGTGGGCCCAAACTCTGGGCCTCCACTTAATGCTCCAGGAGTATGTTGATTGGAGTCTGGGGTCAATTTATTTTTAAATTCTTCAAATGAAATAGATCAAAGTAATGGCGTAGACATACAAGACATGCCTTTCCTTCCAGCATACACTGATTTAAACCTGTGTTTTACAAAGGTACCAGTAATGGACCATGTCCTCCCATTTTGGTGGGCAGTCAGTCTAATACAGTGGCTGATAAGTGTGGAGAGAAGACTGGGCCTGCTGCCTAACAGATGGAGGAAGCATGGCCTTTCCTGCTGGAGGGAGGGAGGGACTGTGTGGAAGAAGCTTCCCTGCCAAACCTACAACAGGAGAAATTTCAAACCCCTGGAGGTTCTGCATAGTTTTTTCCCTTCTTTAACCAGCAGGAGTACATTGGGATTACACAGGCAGCTGATTGGGCTAAAATGGACCCCATTCTACATCAGCCTTTCAAACTGTTCCCTCCTTAGGATATCCTAAACAGTCACCTATACCCAGAGAATAACAAAAGAATGTTAACTATCCTCACTTCTCTGCTTGCAGTGGTTCCTGGGGACCAGTAAGAGTAGGGAGAGGGCCTAAAGCAATCTACAGATTCAATACAATGTGCATCAAAATACCAACAGCATTCTTCAATGAACTGGAACAAATAGTTTTAAAATTCATATGGAACCACCAAAGACCCCGAATAGACAAAGCAATCCTGAGAAGGAAGAATAAAGCAGGGGGGATCACACTTCCCAACTTCAAGCTCTACCACGAAGCCACAGTAATCAAGACAATTTGGTACTGGCACAAGAATAGACCCACAGACCAGTGGAACAGAACGGAGAGTCCAGATATTAACCCAAACATATATGGTCAATAAATATATGATAAAGGAGCCATGGACATACAATGGGGAAATGACAGCCTCTTCAACTGCTGGTGTTGGCAAAACTGGACAGTGACATGTAAGAGAATGAAATTTGATCATTGTCTAACCCCATACACAAAAGTAAATTCGAAATGGATGAAAGATCTGTATGTAAGTCAAGAAACCATAAAACTCTTAGAAAAAAACATAGGCAAAAAACTCTTGGACATAAACATGAGTGACTTCTTCATAATCATATCTCCCCAGGTAAGGGAAACAAAAGCAAAAATGAACAAGTGGGACTATATCAAGCTGAAAAGCTTCTGTACAGCAAAGGACACCATCATTAGAACAAAAAGGCATCCTACAGTATGGGAGAATATATTCATAAATGACAGATCCAATAAAGGGTTGACACCCAAAATATATAAAGAGCTCATGTACCTTAACAAACAAAAAGCAAATAATTCAATTAAAAATTGGTCAGAGGAGCTGAACAGACCGCTCTCCAAAGAACAAATTCAGATGGCCAATAGACATATGAAGAGATGCTCCACATCACTAATCATCAGAGAAATGCAAATTAAAACCACAGTGAGATATCACCTCACACCAGTAAGGATCACCACCATCCAAAAGACAATAACAAATGTTGGTGAGGTTGTGGAGAAAGGGGAACCCTCCTACACTGCTGGTGGGAATGTAAATTAGTTCAACCATTGTGGAAAACAGTATGGAGGTTCCTCAAAAAACTCAAAATAGAAATACCATTTGACCCAGGAATTCCACTCCTAGGAATTTACCCTAAGAATGCAACAGCCCAGTTTGAAAAAGATGTATGCACCCCTATGTTTATCACAGCACTATTCACAATAGCCAAGAAATGGAAGCAACCTAAATGGATAAAGATGTGGTACATATAAACAATGGAATATTATTCATCCATAAAAAGAAAACAAATCCTACCATTCTCAACAACATGGATGGAGCTAGAGGGTATTATGCTCAGTGAACTAAGCCAGGCAGAGAAAGACAAGTACCAAATGATGTCACTTACCTGTGGAGTATAAGAACAAAGAAAAAACTGAAGGAACAAAACAGCAGCAGACTCACAGAACCCAAGAATGGACTAACAGTTACCAAAGGGAAAGGGACTGGTGAGGATGTGTGGGAAGGGAGAGATGGGGGCGGGGAGAAAGGGGGCCTTATGATTAGCATGTATAATGAGGGAGGGGCACGGGGAAGGCTGTGCAACACAGAGAAGACAAGTAGTAATTCTATAGCATCTTACTACACTGATGGAGAGCAACTATAATGGGGTTTGTGGGGGGAGCTTGGTGATGGGGGGAGTCTAGTTAACATAATGTTCCTCATGTAATTGTAGATTAATGATACCAAAATAAAAAGTTAAATTTAAAAAAAAGTAGGGAGAGGGGAAGTTTGTAACAAATTGAAAGGGAATGTCATCCTTATGGCTGGGCTGACGGTGTGGAGCGATGTTGGAGTGACACTTAAGAATGCTACTCTCATCGTAGAAATAAATTCAGGGTGGTAGATGGCATGGTACTTGGGAAAAACACGTTTTCCTGACTCTTCATCACTGCCTCACATCTGTGGGACGAGGCCTCAGGAGTAGATCCCACTTGAAGTGCCTCATGGTGACTGACTAGTGAGTGATCTTGGGCTGCCGACTAAGCCTCTGAGCTCAGGAGCTCTTCCCACCCAATTCTGCAAGGTTCCTTACAGTTTTAAATTTTCTGATTCTCTGTCAGAGGCTGCCAGAGTTAGAAAATGTCTTTGAGTTGTAAGCCTATTTTATCTAGTTTTAGACTTGTTTCTGTTGCTGATATTTGGGAAATCAATCAGACTGCAGTAGCAGAACTCACAATTTAAAGAAAAATTCCTAGGGAGAGGGAGTAAGGGAAATAATAAAGGGACTAAGCTAATTTATCAAACATTTGGTCTGTATTTTTCTAGAGTGGTTCTGCTGAAGTGAGGGTCATCTCTAAGTCACGACAGCAGCAGCTGTGCGCCACCTTGGTCCTGGCACTAACACCCTGCGTGTGGCCCTCAAGTGGCAGGGTGTGACCTCTGCTGTGTAATATCTCACGCTGTGTGCAATGGAGGAATGTGAGGCTGGAGTAGGAATCACAAAGTTTCTTAGCTCCTCAAAGAAGGGTGCTAAAGAAACTTAGGCTGATATCACCTGTGATACCACCTTTTCTTAAAACAGAAGCCAAAAATCTTCAAAAGCATCCATCTTGGGCCACATCCTTCACTTTCTTGCTGATGAAAGTGAATAACAGGATCAGTATTTGGCAAAACTGAGGAGGAAACATTCCCCACTCCCCATTTTGGTGCTACTTCTGCTACTTCTGCCTGTCCCACTACCACTTTTCTTAAGTACCCAGGGTCTTAAGATTAAAAATGATCTAATGTCAGGCATTTGCACAAAGATGTGAATTTCCATATAGCATCTTTACCAGGTGTATCTATATTCTAAGCTTCAGTTCTAATTGTAGCAAAGGAATTATAAATGTATTTCTTTTATTGTGCAAATGATGGTAGGGGGGAGATGGGATCTCTTGTCAGCTGTACATGGGGTCTATGTAAGGCTGCTCTACAAATCAGTACCTGTTTATGACAGCATTGACTTCAAAGTAAGACTAAGGGACGTGGAAACTCAGAATTATGCGACAACTCATTAATATACAGCTATATACATTCACAACTACACAAAATACACAAATACGTTTATGAAGATGAAGAGAATGTTGAATGGCTCATTACTATCTGGATTGTAATATACCAGTGGCCAAATTGTGATCCTAAAACTTAACTTGTAGACCTAGTAACCATTTGCTATAATAATTAAGTTCTGTCCTTTAACACAGACCACAAAGGGCTCCTGGTAAACATCTAGAGAATGGGTTCGTGGATTAGCCAGGCATTAAAGGAGCTTCTATAGAGGCATAAATTGCTATTTTAGGTATTTGAGGGAGGGGAGGGCTAGGAGAAAAGACTATTTCTTCACAGCACCAAAACAACCCGTCAATTTAGCAGCCCAAAATACTGTCAGATTGGTTGCAAAATAGCTGTTTGCCTAATACATTTTTTAAAATTGAGTTCTTGGATCTCCAAACTAGACAGGTAACTAGATTATGACATCAAGATGCTACCTTCACTCTCTCCTTGCCAAGGAAGAAGGCTGTGGCATGCAGGACGTCAGCCGCGTGGGTGGAGTTATGGTAAGCATTGGACGGATGGTAGTTGGCTTCAATCACTTGGAGCCAGGCCCGAAGAGTAGCTTCAGAACAGTGTAAAAATTCACATACTCCAAACCGAGAAAAGACCTTTAAGCCCAGGTAAACCAATGGCCTGGGAAACAGGAAAACAAACCTTGATTCATTGTATGCACTGGTCCAGACACTGCTTTCTTTGATGATACTGGGGAATGGAGGCATCTTTCTTCTGATGCTTGCTCCACACGCACGGGGGTGTAAAAATATCTCCTCACCAATGAAAGGAAATAAAGCATCTCCTCCTCAGCAGCCACTTCTCAACAGCTAGGTGCCTCACGGTCACCCCTAATGACTTCTAGATTGTCTCCAAGTCCTAGGCCCTTCAGTGGCTCTAACAACCAAGGAAGGTCTCCAACAGTCCTTCACCATCTCCCCTTACACATAAGCTCTGTGCTGCCGCGTGTCCCCTGAGGAGTTCACTGAAGCTAACCAAAGGAATGGCATGCAGCATCTCAGCAAAATGCTGTCCATTAGAGTCCTGTTACTTACAGGTGAGAATCATTCATATCCTATAGACCAAAACCCCTAGAAGAAATAGCTTCTTTATGTAATAGAAGAAGACTTAGAGTTTCCTAGTCTTTGCTCTGCATACAGGATGGATCAGAAGAGAAGTCTATAGTGCTGTCAAACTCACTTTGTCATGTGGGGCTTTAACAAGTTTGGGGCTGAGAATACTTAGAACTCTGGTTCACTGGCACAAAATAATGGCCTGGATGAATATGAAAAGGACATTCAGGATTTCCTCATCCTGAGTCATCACCAGGCTGCTCCTACATTTTACCCATTAATACTCTTTCCAAAAAGAAGCTCCCTCACAAGCCACAGTCTCTCTGCTAGTTTGACACTCCTCCAGCACCGCATGGAAGCTAGAACCTGGCAGGTCCCTTTGCGGCAAGAACACATCTCCCTCAGTTTCCAGATGTGAAGCTTTTGAGCGCGGCCATCAGACCTCCCCTGCCTGACACCAGAGAAGCCACGTACCTTTTATGTGTAACAGCTTCCAATTCAAAGATGTTGAACTCCCAACTTTCCTCGTTATCAAGTAATTGAGCAATACAAGGGGGGACATCGTTGATGGTTATTGGCATTGTAAGGTGACTGTGACTCTGGTGCACATCTGAGCAAAAAGATGGGGTGGTGGAGGCTGGTTACTTGTGGAATCTTGAGTACCCTTAAGCATTTATTATCATCTGCATGGCTGCTACTAGGAAGTCTTAAATTTCTAAGAGTAAAGAGATTTTCACCTCAGGGTTCTTCTCTTACATTATTAAACTTCAAGACCTCCAAATAAAAATTAATTCAGTTTAACTGTTTAAATGTATAGAGGTTCTCAATTCTTATTCTGACAGTGCTCAGAGACGTAATTTTAATTGGGAGAACTGGTTTCAAATGTAGACCACAGAAATGCTTAAAACTCCAGTGAGACCAGCAGGAAGTAGAAAGCAAGGCTCCCCCGACAGAGTGACCATGATGGCGAGGAAGGCACAGGCTGGAGACCGACCATCAGTGACACGGGGGTAGGCGACCACTTACTCTTAGTGAACACATACTCATTTCCTGACAACCTTCTCAAGCCATCCTGGAATAAAGAAAGATGCTATTAGAAGCACGCTTTATATGCTGGTACCATTATTCTCTCATCCATTTCATTAGCTAAAGAGATTGAATCCTGACTAGCCCAGTTAATCTGGAACTCCAAGTTGAAGTTCAAAATTAAATCAGAACAGTCGCTGCAAGACAGCAGGTCCTCTCCCTTACATGGCTGCCAGCCCCCAGAGACGCAGAATCGAGAAGCGATGTGACTGTGTCAGGTCTCAACCTGAGCTGTGGGCTGGCCTCTGTCTTAAGGCATCTTCCTCTTCTAGCATTCCGAGGCCACAGGAGTGAAATCACAGGAGTGGTCTTGCTTTGGTGCATGTCATTTTGAAGGGACCTCACTTACAACTGCATAGGGACTGTGCTATTCTTATGTTCTAGATTTACAAAATGGAGAGCTAAAGTCATGAGCCACATTTTGAGGATGACAATGTAAAGCCTTGAAAAGGTTGGGCCAATTTTTGACTAATATCCTAATTTTATTTTTTGTTTTTTAAATTGAGCACTGTATTTAGCCTTTAAAAGTTTTTGGATTAGAGGTGTCTGGAGGGACAGCAGAAGGGAGCAAACAATTTCAATATTCTACCACTTATTAGGCTCCTGAACTAGTGCCCAGATGTTCCTGCATCACAAGTGCCTCCCTTCTACCTTCGGGCCTTGAGGACCTAATTACTTAGGCCTTGGCTTAGGAGTCACTTGTCATTGCTAATTTGTCACCCCTGGAAAGTGAGTGTTAAGGTTTAGAGTACTAGTGAAGAGCTCCCCTGAAGTCACACTGAGGATCTTTAGGCCATGAGCTTAGTTTTTAAAACTAGAAAAACAAAGTAAAAAGGAGCAGAGCTGCTGTGCCCCTAAGGCAGGCCTCACAGGGCCTCCTGTTTTCCCTTTGCCTTTCCTTCTCCTCTTGCCTATGGCTACATTAAAACAGGTGGACTTCTGCACTGGCCCATCACAGCATCAGCTGGAGAGGAACCCGAGACCATATGGCGGCCAGGGAGGTGGGCAGGCAACATGGTCCAAGAACCAGAACCGTCTGCCGCAGCTCTGCAGGGTGGCCTTCCTGGTGCGCCCGAGCCACAGTCTCCACAGTGGAGGTCTACGCTGGCCTGGGGTGGGGCGACCAAGACCAGCCCAGGGGCAGGAAAGGAATAGGCACCCGCTCTGCTTGCAAGCTCATCAAGGGCCTGTGGCAGGGCAAGGAGAGAAGGCACCAGGCAGCCTGTCCACCCTCGGCACTTGGTGGCAAGGCTAGTCCAAAAGCTCCAAAGTAAAACTCACATGACTGACTTTTTCTCCCAAAGAATTCTTCCAGCTTTGGCCCCTGATAAGATTACAAATGAATAATTTGAAGGGTCTTTTTCTTCCCTTGCTGACAAATGGTGGTTACAGCCAAACCAGCACAGCAGAACACTAGAACAGGATGAGCATCTAGAAATGAGCTGCCCTGGGTGGCAGTGTTGGGGTGCTGGCAGGGTGGCCTCTCCTCCCCCCGCGGAGTCAGGACAGCTCCACTCTGCTTTTAGCTGATCATATGGGAACTTCCTTATAAGCTTTTATTGAAAGAAAGGATTTTACAGCTAAGATTTTAGGAACTACTGCTGAGGTCTTAAGTATAAATCCTTTCATTAAAGATAGAGACTGAGGCCCAAGGAAACCTGGCCATAACCCTCAATCCAATACCGTTCCAGGTCACAGAGAAGAAGTAAACACACCTAGTGGGCCCTCAGCCAACTGCCTGGTGCCCCTCACTGTAACATGAATCCTGAAGATGTGGTCTTCAGTTTGGTGGAATGAGCAATGCAGGAATTACTTGAGTGAAACCCACATATCATACAGTGTTGACGCAGGTGCTTCCAGCCATGCTAGTGTTACGGCTCATGCAACAGGCTTCTGCAGCTGCAGGCAGCAGCTTCTACGTGACACATCGTGTGTATGCCAGAGCCACCTAATGTCATCTCCCCTGCGTTTCTGGTCTTTCCTCATCACTCACAGTCATCAAGCCTCCAACAAGATCACTGGTGTGAGGATCTTCATCTCTGGTACCCAGCTGTGGGGAGTATAATTCTGTGGTCCGTAAAATTTCTAGAACTCTGTCCAAGGCTTCTGCTACTGTGACGGGGCTGTTTTCTTGGGCTGCATTGATTATATTTATAACCTAGGGAAGTCAAGAGAGAAAGAATACGTTTGAGGATATTAGGTTTCTACTTCCCAAAGGTCTTGTGGATCAAGGAATCCAGAAGAAATCAGACAACAATCGTGTTGCTCACAGTGGCTGGGGCTTTCACGGAGCAGTCACTCCCTTCTTAATGATGCCTGCTTTTCATCCCACCCTCTCCTGGGGTTTCTTTGACCTCGGGGAGTCCACTTCCTCTGGCTCCTTTGCTGATTCTTCTCTAGTAGCTCTCTGCTACCGGCTGGAGGTCCTCAGAGTTTGGGGCCTCTCACTCTGCAGACCTTCCAGAGATGAGCTACTTCCAGGGCTTTGGGCAGCTTTGGTCGTTACGCCAAGGACCGTCACATTGACATCCCAGCACTGAACCTTTTTTGGCCTTCAGCCCTGTATATTCAGTTGCCTTTCTGATGTACCTATTGGACTATCTTGCTTACATGTCCAAAACTAAACTGATATTGCTGTCCTCTCCCCAAAGTAAGCAAGTAGACAAACATAATGAAAAATGACACATAAGAGCTGTGCTCCTTCTCTGGTTCCTCTATGGCAGTAAAAACACCACTCCTACCCATCCTGGGCTCAAACCAAAAACCTGGGAGGCCCTGGTTGGCAGGGCACCTTCCCTCATTTCTTGCCTCTCCCTGACAATATAATTCATCACTAAGTCAAATGGATTCTATGCCTGAACATTCTGTGGTCTATTCATTTCTCTCCATTTCCAAGCTATAATTCCAGTACGGCCAACACCATGTCTTGCCTGTAATTCTGGAAAAGCCCCCTAACTGACCTCTTCTCTTTCCCTCTTGCCATCTTCTGTCTGTTCCCTGCACGGCAGCTAGGTGTTCTTTTCATTAAACATACTTGATCACGTCACTCCCCTCTTTAAATTTTTAGTGGCTTTCATTGCACATAAATGAAAACATGAACTTGTATGGCTCAAAAGGCCGGAATGACTGAACCTGCCCAACTCCGTGTCACCACCCTCCCCTCTGCTCTCCGAGCTTCAGCCACCCTGACTTGCTTGCAGGTCTGCAAACGCTCTAGTCCCCCTTTCCTGCTTCAGCGCTTCGCCCCTTGCTGTGCCTGCTGCCCAGACCCCCCTCCCTGCTCTTCCCCTGACATCTCTGCATGCTTCAGGCCATCCTCACTTCCACATCACTTCCTCCACAGAGAGACCCTCCCTGATCACCCATCTCACACAACCCGAACGGGGCTCTAATGTATTTTCTCTCAAAGAACTCTACCATTTTCCTTAATAGCAGTCATTGTAATTTATAACTACATATTTATTTATGTGTGTTTCACATCTGTTTCTTCCACTAGGCTGCAAACTCAGTGTCAGTATATGTCATTCCTCACTTTATCCCCAGAACATAGCCCAGCGCTAGGTGGCCCTGACCGCAGAAGCTGCAGCCCACCTTTGTGATGGGGGCCTCGATGGTCATGGAGTGGATCCTGGCCGTGGACGGACAGCGACGATTCTGCAGGCTCGGTGCTGGGGAAAGTCAAGAGAGTTCTGTCTGGTTTGATGGTTCAGCTTGGCTGAGTGCAGCAACAGGGCCCTTCACCAGCTGCGAGCATGGTTCTCGCAGGACTGCTGTCACCCGAACCCCGTTAAGCAATGAATTCACTCATTTCTTAATCCTAGAAGGCTCAGGGCTCAGCTACCACTTGCCAGAGTCCAGAAAAGGCGGTCTGGCCTGGAACTCTGACAGCAGGAAGGCTTTCTGAGTCCCAGGGCCACAAGGGGAATTTCAATGTTGATGGGACCCTGAGGCCCCACCTCATCAGCCTCATGATCCCCCAGAACTCTCCTTCCCACGGGTCACTAAAGCCCAAATTGGTAGTTCCAGCACTTGCACTCCTCAGCTGTCGGCCTTGTATCCAGAGGGAGGCCCAGTCCACGGTTAGGGTGGTGGGCAGGGGAGTGAGCCCACGCAGCATGAACACTACTTCCCTGCCCCTCTGGGTTCTCACCACCCAGAACCTATGGTGGTCCCAGCTTTAATCTGTAGAAACTTTCATTTTAACATAATTTTACTTTTTTGAAAAGCACTACTCTCAGCAGCATTCTGAAAGGCAGGCAGGAGGGTCCAGACCCACGTGTACGGATGGGGTCACCGAGTGGAGCCGGTACCGGCGGAGCCTGTCTGCCCTGCTGCGGCCAGAGCCGCCACCACAGAGCCCTCCACACTCGCCAGCCTCTGCCTCCCCCACGCTCTGGGAGAGGATGCACCCATCTCAAACTCTGAAAACGAATTCTTTATCCATCATCCTTCCCATCTAAAATGTTCTACCTACATTCTCAATCTATCTGAACTATTTCTTCTTTACTTTCTTTCTTTACATTCTTGGTTCCCGTTCCCTTGCGTGCCCTGCGATGTAGCCAGCTTCCACCATGAGGTATCCACCTACGTCTGGGGTCTTTAGTCCGTGCCAGGTCAGCCACTTCCCTCTCACTCGGTTTCCGCTGTGACCTAAGGATTACAAAGTCCTCCCCTTGCCTTCCTACGTATCCTCTTAAGTTCCACCCCACTTCTTTCTATCACAGTCGCTAACCATGGCCCATCCTTAAGTCCCTAGGATCTGTCCTCCCATTTGCCAATTAAAAACTAAAAGAATGAGTGAAGTCCATTAGTCTGTTCTCAGCTTTTAAGCTCTCTTCTCTCCGCAGCACCTGACCCTGCTGGCCATCTCTTTTTATTTGCCACTGTCTTGCTCTTGGTTCACTGTTCTTAGTGACCCTGTACCCACATGCTCATTCCCAGCTCTCCTGTCCTCTTTGGTGGTCCTGTTTCTCCTCCTCCCATCTCACTGAAGGTGTACCTTCCAGCCTCCGATCTAGACTCTCTGCTCTTTCATTACACTCACTCACACGTACCCCCTTCCTCTGTTCACAGCTTCACCCGTCACCTCTCAGACTCCCAGATCTCCTTCTCCAGCCTTGAGTACCAGTCTTGCATTTTAGCTTTCTTGGCATCTCCAATAAATGAAAACTCATCTCCTCCTCAACCCATACACAGAACCTTTCCTAGTTCTGTCAATATTCCTCTTCTCTTCCCAGGCATGTAGGAATGAAATTTCAGAATCATCTTTGACCTTCCCATCTTCCTATAAATCCAATTGTTACTTAGGTCTGATTGACCGAATTCAAAAAGTGTTTTGTTAAATTCTGCTTTGCAGAACAAAAACACTTTCCAAAATTCTGTCTCACAGTTTGTAACATTTTATTAAGGGAATGTAAGGATGTGTAACAGGTATGCTGAAAACTGGGTTTGCATTGGGAATGGGAGGCCCCGGACTCTGGCCCCCTCTACCATTCGCCCCTGTGGGTGATGCTGCGCTTGAAACTCTGAGCTGCCCCAGTGGTTCTGTGGCCCGACACTCTCTAGGCTATCAAGGAACAAGCCTGGAATCATTTCGAAGAGAAGACAAAGACTATAAGAAGTAGAGAACAAAAAGGCCTGAACGATTTCAGCCTATGGGGAAAAAGCCAGTTTACTTGAAATTCTACTCCTTGGGGTTTTGTATATATGCTGACAAATTCTTGAATATATTCCTCTGTCATTTTCTACACTTTAAAAAGGTCAAGGAAATCTGAAAAACTTCTTACCATCACTGCTTCGAGACGATATTGATTTCACATCAATGGATTCTTTCCTCCTGTTCTTGTACCTGCATGAATGAGGCTCTAAGGATTTCAGATTAGTAATGGAGAGTGATTAGTTTTCAGCTTATTCACAGGTGAAGCATAGACACATTTTTCTCCATCTCTAAAGAAAAGTTAACTTTTTAAGCACTCTAAAATACTTTTAAGAAATAGTAAACCACTTTCTCTTCAAATCACTAACACACAGAATTATCAGTCATAGTAGCTGGAGAATGATGTGTGTGTGTGTGTGTGTGTGTGTGTGTGTGCACGCATGTGTGCAACAGCACATCACGTCATGGTAATGGGGCTTATTATCAACCATTATTTAGTCCCATTAATAAGATACCTTTTTGAAAATCAACATTACAATTTGGGAAATTTTTCTGGGTTCACAGGGCTAATTGGGGGAATAAAATATGAGTGAAATCCATAGGTGTTGCATTTATGTATTTATTTGAGAAACTAATCTGGGCCAATTTTAGGCCCCTCTGAGAAGTCAGACCTCTAGATGGTCTTCTTGATTCTGTGGATATCATTTTATCAAGTGATGTACACTGCTAATCTCAGGAAGGAAGAAAATAAAAAAGCAGTTTTGTAATTCCAACAATTTCCAACAATACCTCTCACCTTGTCCCCATTTTCTGAGGGAAAAACACTTAACTCTACATAAGTCTTTGCAGACTTTGAGTTTAACACTCAGAATGTGCTGTCACATTAATGCAAGATCTAAGCAAACAGTGCATGCCACCAGTGAGGACCAAGGGGTAAAAATGCCAAGGAAGCAGAGTTGGCTTCAGAAACATGTTTTTTTTTCAGGGCGTTTGCTTCTTGCAGGAGTAACACATGATCAAGGAGAGAAATTTAACTATAACACAGAATTGCTCCTAATTGTGCTAAGACAGGAGGCAGACAGGCAGATTCCAGCAGGGAAAATGCATTTGCCAGACACCAATGAATGATCAGACTCCAAGAAAGAAACAAAGGTGTGATAAATGCTTTCTCAAAAATTGTCTCAAGATACCGAAAAAGATAACAAGAGAACATCGTAGTTAAGAGAACCAGCTCCAGAGTCAAATCACCAAAATTCCAGTGGGCTGTTTTCTTGGGCTGCATTGATTATATTTATAACCTAGGGAAGTCAAGAGAGAAAGAATACGTTTGAGGATATTAGGTTTCTACTTCCCAAAGGTCTTGTGGATCAAGGAATCCAGAAGAAATCAGACAACAATCATGTTGCTCACAGTGGCTGGGGCTTTCACGGAGCAGTCACTCCCTTCTTAATGATGCCTGCTTTTCATCCCACCCTCTCCTGGGGTTTCTTTGACCTCGGGGAGTCCACTTCCTCTGGCTCCTTTGCTGATTCTTCTCTAGTAGCTCTCTGCTACCGGCTGGAGGTCCTCAGAGTTTGGGGCCTCTCACTCTGCAGACCTTCCAGAGATGAGCTACTTCCAGGGCTTTGGGCAGCTTTGGTCGTTACGCCAAGGACCGTCACATTGACATCCCAGCACTGAACCTTTTTTGGCCTTCAGCCCTGTATATTCAGTTGCCTTTCTGATGTACCTATTGGACTATCTTGCTTACATGTCCAAAACTAAACTGATATTGCTGTCCTCTCCCCAAAGTAAGCAAGTAGACAAACATAATGAAAAATGACACATAAGAGCTGTGCTCCTTCTCTGGTTCCTCTATGGCAGTAAAAACACCACTCCTACCCATCCTGGGCTCAAACCAAAAACCTGGGAGGCCCTGGTTGGCAGGGCACCTTCCCTCATTTCTTGCCTCTCCCTGACAATATAATTCATCACTAAGTCAAATGGATTCTATGCCTGAACATTCTGTGGTCTATTCATTTCTCTCCATTTCCAAGCTATAATTCCAGTACGGCCAACACCATGTCTTGCCTGTAATTCTGGAAAAGCCCCCTAACTGACCTCTTCTCTTTCCCTCTTGCCATCTTCTGTCTGTTCCCTGCACGGCAGCTAGGTGTTCTTTTCATTAAACATACTTGATCACGTCACTCCCCTCTTTAAATTTTTAGTGGCTTTCATTGCACATAAATGAAAACATGAACTTGTATGGCTCAAAAGGCCGGAATGACTGAACCTGCCCAACTCCGTGTCACCACCCTCCCCTCTGCTCTCCGAGCTTCAGCCACCCTGACTTGCTTGCAGGTCTGCAAACGCTCTAGTCCCCCTTTCCTGCTTCAGCGCTTCGCCCCTTGCTGTGCCTGCTGCCCAGACCCCCCTCCCTGCTCTTCCCCTGACATCTCTGCATGCTTCAGGCCATCCTCACTTCCACATCACTTCCTCCACAGAGAGACCCTCCCTGATCACCCATCTCACACAACCCGAACGGGGCTCTAATGTATTTTCTCTCAAAGAACTCTACCATTTTCCTTAATAGCAGTCATTGTAATTTATAACTACATATTTATTTATGTGTGTTTCACATCTGTTTCTTCCACTAGGCTGCAAACTCAGTGTCAGTATATGTCATTCCTCACTTTATCCCCAGAACATAGCCCAGCGCTAGGTGGCCCTGACCGCAGAAGCTGCAGCCCACCTTTGTGATGGGGGCCTCGATGGTCATGGAGTGGATCCTGGCCGTGGACGGACAGCGACGATTCTGCAGGCTCGGTGCTGGGGAAAGTCAAGAGAGTTCTGTCTGGTTTGATGGTTCAGCTTGGCTGAGTGCAGCAACAGGGCCCTTCACCAGCTGCGAGCATGGTTCTCGCAGGACTGCTGTCACCCGAACCCCGTTAAGCAATGAATTCACTCATTTCTTAATCCTAGAAGGCTCAGGGCTCAGCTACCACTTGCCAGAGTCCAGAAAAGGCGGTCTGGCCTGGAACTCTGACAGCAGGAAGGCTTTCTGAGTCCCAGGGCCACAAGGGGAATTTCAATGTTGATGGGACCCTGAGGCCCCACCTCATCAGCCTCATGATCCCCCAGAACTCTCCTTCCCACGGGTCACTAAAGCCCAAATTGGTAGTTCCAGCACTTGCACTCCTCAGCTGTCGGCCTTGTATCCAGAGGGAGGCCCAGTCCACGGTTAGGGTGGTGGGCAGGGGAGTGAGCCCACGCAGCATGAACACTACTTCCCTGCCCCTCTGGGTTCTCACCACCCAGAACCTATGGTGGTCCCAGCTTTAATCTGTAGAAACTTTCATTTTAACATAATTTTACTTTTTTGAAAAGCACTACTCTCAGCAGCATTCTGAAAGGCAGGCAGGAGGGTCCAGACCCACGTGTACGGATGGGGTCACCGAGTGGAGCCGGTACCGGCGGAGCCTGTCTGCCCTGCTGCGGCCAGAGCCGCCACCACAGAGCCCTCCACACTCGCCAGCCTCTGCCTCCCCCACGCTCTGGGAGAGGATGCACCCATCTCAAACTCTGAAAACGAATTCTTTATCCATCATCCTTCCCATCTAAAATGTTCTACCTACATTCTCAATCTATCTGAACTATTTCTTCTTTACTTTCTTTCTTTACATTCTTGGTTCCCGTTCCCTTGCGTGCCCTGCGATGTAGCCAGCTTCCACCATGAGGTATCCACCTACGTCTGGGGTCTTTAGTCCGTGCCAGGTCAGCCACTTCCCTCTCACTCGGTTTCCGCTGTGACCTAAGGATTACAAAGTCCTCCCCTTGCCTTCCTACGTATCCTCTTAAGTTCCACCCCACTTCTTTCTATCACAGTCGCTAACCATGGCCCATCCTTAAGTCCCTAGGATCTGTCCTCCCATTTGCCAATTAAAAACTAAAAGAATGAGTGAAGTCCATTAGTCTGTTCTCAGCTTTTAAGCTCTCTTCTCTCCGCAGCACCTGACCCTGCTGGCCATCTCTTTTTATTTGCCACTGTCTTGCTCTTGGTTCACTGTTCTTAGTGACCCTGTACCCACATGCTCATTCCCAGCTCTCCTGTCCTCTTTGGTGGTCCTGTTTCTCCTCCTCCCATCTCACTGAAGGTGTACCTTCCAGCCTCCGATCTAGACTCTCTGCTCTTTCATTACACTCACTCACACGTACCCCCTTCCTCTGTTCACAGCTTCACCCGTCACCTCTCAGACTCCCAGATCTCCTTCTCCAGCCTTGAGTACCAGTCTTGCATTTTAGCTTTCTTGGCATCTCCAATAAATGAAAACTCATCTCCTCCTCAACCCATACACAGAACCTTTCCTAGTTCTGTCAATATTCCTCTTCTCTTCCCAGGCATGTAGGAATGAAATTTCAGAATCATCTTTGACCTTCCCATCTTCCTATAAATCCAATTGTTACTTAGGTCTGATTGACCGAATTCAAAAAGTGTTTTGTTAAATTCTGCTTTGCAGAACAAAAACACTTTCCAAAATTCTGTCTCACAGTTTGTAACATTTTATTAAGGGAATGTAAGGATGTGTAACAGGTATGCTGAAAACTGGGTTTGCATTGGGAATGGGAGGCCCCGGACTCTGGCCCCCTCTACCATTCGCCCCTGTGGGTGATGCTGCGCTTGAAACTCTGAGCTGCCCCAGTGGTTCTGTGGCCCGACACTCTCTAGGCTATCAAGGAACAAGCCTGGAATCATTTCGAAGAGAAGACAAAGACTATAAGAAGTAGAGAACAAAAAGGCCTGAACGATTTCAGCCTATGGGGAAAAAGCCAGTTTACTTGAAATTCTACTCCTTGGGGTTTTGTATATATGCTGACAAATTCTTGAATATATTCCTCTGTCATTTTCTACACTTTAAAAAGGTCAAGGAAATCTGAAAAACTTCTTACCATCACTGCTTCGAGACGATATTGATTTCACATCAATGGATTCTTTCCTCCTGTTCTTGTACCTGCATGAATGAGGCTCTAAGGATTTCAGATTAGTAATGGAGAGTGATTAGTTTTCAGCTTATTCACAGGTGAAGCATAGACACATTTTTCTCCATCTCTAAAGAAAAGTTAACTTTTTAAGCACTCTAAAATACTTTTAAGAAATAGTAAACCACTTTCTCTTCAAATCACTAACACACAGAATTATCAGTCATAGTAGCTGGAGAATGATGTGTGTGTGTGTGTGTGTGTGTGTGTGTGTGCACGCATGTGTGCAACAGCACATCACGTCATGGTAATGGGGCTTATTATCAACCATTATTTAGTCCCATTAATAAGATACCTTTTTGAAAATCAACATTACAATTTGGGAAATTTTTCTGGGTTCACAGGGCTAATTGGGGGAATAAAATATGAGTGAAATCCATAGGTGTTGCATTTATGTATTTATTTGAGAAACTAATCTGGGCCAATTTTAGGCCCCTCTGAGAAGTCAGACCTCTAGATGGTCTTCTTGATTCTGTGGATATCATTTTATCAAGTGATGTACACTGCTAATCTCAGGAAGGAAGAAAATAAAAAAGCAGTTTTGTAATTCCAACAATTTCCAACAATACCTCTCACCTTGTCCCCATTTTCTGAGGGAAAAACACTTAACTCTACATAAGTCTTTGCAGACTTTGAGTTTAACACTCAGAATGTGCTGTCACATTAATGCAAGATCTAAGCAAACAGTGCATGCCACCAGTGAGGACCAAGGGGTAAAAATGCCAAGGAAGCAGAGTTGGCTTCAGAAACATGTTTTTTTTTCAGGGCGTTTGCTTCTTGCAGGAGTAACACATGATCAAGGAGAGAAATTTAACTATAACACAGAATTGCTCCTAATTGTGCTAAGACAGGAGGCAGACAGGCAGATTCCAGCAGGGAAAATGCATTTGCCAGACACCAATGAATGATCAGACTCCAAGAAAGAAACAAAGGTGTGATAAATGCTTTCTCAAAAATTGTCTCAAGATACCGAAAAAGATAACAAGAGAACATCGTAGTTAAGAGAACCAGCTCCAGAGTCAAATCACCAAAATTCCAGTCTCCACTACACATTTTAGTAGCTGTGCAACCTTGGAAATACACTTCTCTGTGCCTCAGAATCCACACCTGTAAAGTGGGGACAGCTAAAACATCTCGTTTGTGGGCTGCTGTGAGATGCGAATGAGTTAATCCATGGATAGCACCTAGAACGGTGCCTGCTTAGTACGCATGTAGACCACGCTGGCTACTGACACCTGCTCATCCATCCACACAGAGACCTCTGTTTTCACCTCATAATATGTCTTACTTTTCTAGGTCACCTTTTTAACCATTTGCTTTAGAGTTCTAACAAATCTGATCAATTAAAAAAAGGTTAAATAACTAAACCTGAACTATATGTATACAGCATGAAGTCAAAGACAGAATTATCATAGAGTTAATCTGAATCCCAGAGTCACAGTCTTAAATGACCTAACTTTAAGTATTTTCCTTTGCCTAATTTCATCTTTCAGACTCTGCCTTAATAATTTTCTAGGCCTTGGATATGAGTTTCAGTATTTCTTTATAAAGATACCTATAGGTAATGGCACTTTAAGTGATATTAAGATCACATGGTGTCTCAAACCTGAGAACTGGTAGTGGTCACTCACGAGGTGTTTGTTGTTAGTCTGTTCAGAGACTTCATGATCATATCTGTTCTCAACATCTGTTTACTAGATAATACATTGAATTTATTAAAGACTTAAAATTAAATTCAAGATTGAGGAACATAAGAATTCCTCAAAATAGTTTCTAAATAAAACTACAATAGGGAAGAGGTTAGTGTCACAGCTGTAGCCCAGGCTGGTTGAATTATAAATCATTTATTAGAAACTATTCAAAGATGGGTAATGTTCACTGTTCCTGATTTAATTTCAGTTGAAATTAAGGGCATCAATAGCAATAGAGATGATTAAAAGTTTGGAGAAATTCTTCAATGAAGGTCATTTAAATCAAAGGATTCATTACTCATTCTCTCAACAGCTACTTGTGGAATGATTTAAAAAACAGGAAAGAAGGATAAAGGAGATTTAAACAGTTATACTAAGTGGTAAAAAGGGATACAGTGTCACCAATTTAAAAAAATAGCTACCATTTACTGAGGACTGACTATGCACCGTTATGCTTCAGTATTTCCTTAAAATGTAGTAATTATCTTATTTGATCATTACAACAATTATAAAAGATACATAGTATGGTCTCTATTTTATAGATGAGGAAATTTAAACTTGGAGAGATTATGTAGGTAGCTCAGGTCAAAGAGCTAGTAACTGGTGGAGCCAGAGCTTCTCAAGAAGGGAAGGTTTCAATTTATCAATGTTCTGTTAGTATTTATTGCAAGGCAATGGTGGGCACCATAACAGACAGGAAAATGCTTGCTACAGTTTTTGGCACCCAGAACCTCATAAGTTAGTTAAAATAATACTCTTGCTGGTAGTGTTATAAAAAATAAAAACATCTGAGAAAGGTGGAGTTGGGAGTAGGGTTGGGAGGAGGATACCCAACAGTTAAATGCCTACATATCATATACATTTTCTGCTTGAATTCTCATAACAATGAGATGGGTATTGTTAATTCATTTTACAAATGAAGAAACTGAAGCTCAAATGAAATCTTTCTGGCTTTGGTTAAAATATGGCCCATCCTAGAATCAAGAAGAGGAACTAAATAATTAGCCCAGGGTCTGACTTTATGCTTTAGTGGCTGGGAAAGCCACAAACCAGAGAGAATATGTTGTGTGTGTGCGGTAACTAGAACTTTAAATCTTTGGTAGCAGGCTGATTTTTCCCTCTAAGGATCAGATGTAGAAGTCACCAGGTACAGCCAGCTCATTTTATGGCTGAGGAAACCAAGCATCAGAGTCGTGGCCAGCATGTGAGGTGAGGGAAAGGGGTGCTGCAGTGGCGACTTGGTGCTCTGGTCTTCCAGGCCAAGACCCACCCACACTGCCACTGCTGCAGAGAAAGGGAAGGCTACCTCAGGCTCTGACAGCAGTGTGTCTCCCCCGGACTTCCAGGCCACTCTCTATTTTGGGTGTATCTGCTCTACATGGTCTCCAGCACCCAAAATAAAAACACGATGGGGAAGGCGTTCAATAGAAAAGGTTGCCACGAATGAAGGTTCCAAACTTTTCAAGGGATTCTGCTTTTACTGTGCCTCTTCAACCTTCCGATCTCAGCACTCAGAATTTAGCAATCCAAGTTCTGGGGTGCTGATTATCAAATCTGGATTTTTTTCAGTGTGATTTATAGACTTGAATCCACAAATGCCACCTAAATGTGTAAGAGTGAAGTTGACGTATTCTCACCTGTCTGAGAATTGTCTCCTGAATCGCGATGAAACTTGTGAATCTAAAATTGTTCAAAAGTTTGGTAAAAAAGGAAGAGATTTTAAATATGGTATTAGCTACATTTCCAGGCAAACAATTTCATTAAAAATCCCCGAATACTTCAAGAAAGCAAGAAGTTGCAGAGATAATATAAACAGAGGAAAGATGTGCACCGGTGGTAATACAGCAAATGCACTATTACATTCAGACCCTTCCAGAATGACTAAGCCCGACAGCAGGAAGAGGCCCAGGGGCTGTACTTCCTAAGAGGACACCTAAATCTCCAGACAGCTGTCCTCATTCTGACAGTCCACAGAAATGTGGAGACACAAAAAGCTATAACAACGTTTAAGATTTTTATAAGGTTAATATATAACCTATTTATATTTGATGTTATAAAATTCTTCTATAACATAATCTAAATTTAAGCCTAGGACTTATAAAACCTTCCTAAAAACCTCTCCAAATGCTCTGCAAATTATAAACAATTTACAGAATATTTCTTCACAATGAAATCTGAACTTTAGATGCAGTTTAGCACCTAGTTCTTTCTCATTATCAATTTTTTTGTGAGCTAATGCTCAATAAGAATCTGTTAAATGATGAAGTCATTAACACTAAAAATCATAAATATGCTTTCTTCGGGGTTCTGCACTTTTTTGTGTTTATAACAGACTAAAACACTGCTAGTTTGGTGTACCTAGCTCTATCATATTTATGATCCTTCTGCTTTGCTGCTAAATCCACCTACTTCCAGTTACTCAGCACATCAAATATTTGTAGTCACTCAATGAACGGGGGTCAGTTATGCTGAGAAACAAGAACAGGTGAGTGTGTAGGACTGTATGTGAAGGAAGGTTAGGATGGCTTAGCAGCATGCAACAGCCAGAAGTTCCTATGTATCAGATACAGGTAAAATGGTCCAGCTTGACTGAACCACTGAAAAATAATCATGTAAAATTGAAGTATTAAAATTAGGGTTTTCTATGAATTATTTGAACAGTTCATTCCACGTAACTAAAGAAACAATTACATGGCTAGCCTGCGTGAGTTCTTGGTCTTACTGTGCCCAAGGGCTGTGACTCATTTATCCCACAATTATGAGGCCTTTTTATTTCTTCTGTGAACAACTATCTAATGTTTTTCCTCTGCAAAGACCATTTGCTACAAAGCTGCGAGCGCAGTGTGCATCTCTGACACCACACCGAGTCGGTGCTTTTGCCTTGCATGTTCTTTTCTCAATCAGCTTTGGCTCAAAACAAGTGATTTTTAAATACCTAGCTTTGCCCTCTGAATCACAGTACATCTGTCCTGTGGACCAGAGTCCCGTGGCTCCCAGGTTACACACAAAATCCCTTTCTTGTCTTCTGTTGGCCCTCACAGGCCAGCCCATGGCACTGTGGTGCTCCTGGGAGGGTCAAGGGCTTTGTGTTCTGTCGGGGGGGAACCAGATGAAGCCCAAGGTACAAGAGGCACAACCCACCTGGCTTTGGGATGAAAATATGCCCCAGCCCCTTGAGAAGAGGGATGAGGGGACAGAAGCACCAGGCATTGGCTGGGGTGGTTCTGGTCTGTCTTTCCCCACATTCCTTTGGCCCTTTCTGAGCGGAACACACCGCATGCTCTCCAGCCCCGCAGCCCCTGAATCTGCTTCTCTGCCCTGACCCACAGCACTGGCAGTACCCCTCTGCCTACTGTCACGGGCTTCCAAGGCAGGCTTGGCAGGGCTGGCTGTGTCAGCGTCTGCTGCCTGGGATCCACTTCCTGATTCTCTGTGGCAAGAGCAACACCTGAGGGCCTTTACCCTGGTCCCCCAGCACCTGGGGACCTTTCACCTGGCACCCCCAGCAGAGCTAGGTCTTATCAGCATGTGTCTACAGACTGTGTGCCTCTTCTGAATACCCTCTTTACAGCTAAGGAGCCACTTGGATGAAAACTTCTTAGACTTCAAATTTTCTCCTTGGATGTCTGAATCCACTAGTCATTTACAACTTGGTAAGAATGATTCCACTAAAACCATTTCCTTATAATGTTCAGTCAAGCACTTTGAGGAAATAAACCGGGAATGAGTGGCCCTGTCATCCGGCCGGTAGCCAGGGGGTCTCAGGGGCCCAGGCACCTGCAGGGGTGGGGCAGAGGAGAGAGGGCCTGGCCATGTGCTGGCGACTTTACATTCACAGCCCAGTCATCACACCACCCTCGGCAGAGGAAGAAGGCTGTGTTGGGTAAGGGAGTCGCCAGAGTCTCACAGCTAGTGCGGCACAGCCTGATTTCTCAGCTTCCTCTGGCCCTAAAGCCACATCTTGTTTGTCCCACTGCTCTCTAGAGTGAGGCCCCAGGAGGGGAGGCCCAGGCTTGTTAAACAGGTCTGAGGACATCAGACCCTGGGTCTGTGCAGGACATCTGTTTGAAACATAATTTTCTTTGAAATTTTGAGGAAAGTTTAAGTAAGAGGGTTTATGTGAGAGGTTTTATCACACGCATGCTAAAGCAAGGAAATTATAATTCAATGTCCCTGGTGTCAGCCAATCCCTCCAGAGTGTAGTTTTTTGTTTTTTCTTTTGTAAAAGAAAGCTTCAAGGGTAGACTGTGTCCGCGTGCATTAATGACTGGAATTTTTATACTGTGTGTCCTGGGGAACCCACAGGCTTTAGCGCCAAGCTTCTGCAGTGCGCATGCTGCTGGCCTTGGCCTGTGTCTCTCCTGCCAGAGCTCAAAGCTGGGATTTTTTAGCAAGTCCTTGGAAGCTCACAGCTTGTTTTGGGGAGAAAAAATTCATGTCAAACTTTTAATTACAATACCATAGGTTCCCACAAATATTACTCTCCTTGTGCTCAATGCTTTGTTTACAAGCACCTGATCATGTTTGGCTGTTTAAAAAGCACTACAAATTCTGTATGTATATGATGATTTAAGGGACATTTTATTATTTTCTTCTTAAAGAATAATCATTTAAAAATTAAATTTTCTCTACCCATCCAACAGAATGTCTAAAACTAAAATGAAATTTTGTCAAGAATATACAACAGCTGGAGCTGCCACACACTGCTGGAGGCAGGGTAAAACTGGGCAACCACTATGAAAAAATGTCTGGTGGTTTCTTAGACCGTTAAACTTGCACCTACCCCATGACCCAGCTCCCCAACATTCAGTTCCACTCCTGAGTATTCACCCAAGAGAAATGAAAGAATATATTCATAGAAAGACTTGTCTAAGAATGTTTAAAGGAGCCCCAAATGAGAAAACATCCCAGAAGTTCATCAACAAGGAAATACAATGGTAGATGGATGCAATGCAATACTGTTGAGCAATAAAAAGGAAAAAGGAAAAAATTACTGATACATACAACATGGATAAACCTCACAACATTATAATGAGTGAAAGAAGCCAAACACAAAATAATAGACCCTGTATGAAGCCCTAGAACAGATGACACTAATGTATGGTCAAATAACTCAGAGCAGTGGGGCCTCAGTTGGAAAGGATAGAAGTGGAAGCAGGGATAACCGAGAAAAGGCAGGAGGGAACTTTTGGGAGGGTAAGGCCTGGCATCTTGATCAGGTCTGGGTTACAGAGGTATATGCATTTGTCAAAACTCAAGGAATGCTATACTTAAGATTTGTGCATTTCACTATATTTAAAAAAAGAAAAAAACCTTAAAACAGGTTTTTTTTTATTTAAAAAAAGAAAAAAACCTGAAAACAAATATTAAACTCTAGTTAATAACATGTATGCTAAAGTACCAAGGGGTGAAATGTCCTGATGTTTGCAACTTAAGTTTAAAATCTACCAAAGGTGAACTGATGGATGAATTGAGGAGTATATAGAACAGATATACAGTTAAACAAAATGTTGATTATAGAACCTAGGTGGTGGGTTTGTGCATGTTTACTTACAGTTCTTCTAACTCTTCTTTATATTTGAAAACTTTCATAATAAAATGTTGGGAAAACTATATGTGCAACTGAGAATTTAGATTGATGGCTAAAAATTGGAAGTCTGAAATAGAATTTCAAAATCTGTGAAGATAAACAAGTTGAAGGAAATTGAGAACAGCCTGAAATTGAGTGAGGTGAGTGACATGTCATGGTCCCCAGGACTTTCTGCCAGAAGCCAGGCCACGAAGATGATGTTCTTCCGCAAGCCATAGTTGAGGAGTTGTTCACAGCGGCTGGTCAGTCTTAGCAGTGTAAGGTTTACCTTGGTAACTATTTAATACATTGATTTCAATCATTTTATTGATTGATTTTATAAGTTATACAGTATAAATAAATTCTGATATCTCTTATGGAAGAAAAACTCCAAGAAATAACAATGAAAACACTCCTCATAATATGATATGGTAAAATCAACCTTTCTTTTTAAATGAAAAATCATGAGACTTTTTTAGCAATTAAAATGAGTCAAGGCCAGGATCATTACGGTAACAAGAAAGCAAATATGTACAACATACGTCCTTCAACACTTATTTCAGAACCACCATAGAACTGTTAATAGCATTTGGCAGAAAAATTTGAGTCTGCTTTTGTCATTACTGATGACAAAGACGTAAGAGACTTCAGTCACAGTTAAAATCACCAGATATCCTTGCAGGTGGGTCTGGGGGGTCATCATTGATTTTCCTTTTCTCTCATTCCCATTTCTAGTCCATCATCAAATCCTGTAAAATCGCCCTCCAAATACCTCTGGGGATCACCCACTTCACGTCTCCATTGCCAGAGCGCAGGCTACCATCAGCCCTCATCTGAACCCAGCAATACCCCCTGGCCCAGCCTATTCTCAACTCTTCAGCTGGTGTAATCTTGCAAAACTGTACATTTAATCCTGTCAGTCCTCTCCTAAAACTTGCCATTGGTCTTAGGATCAGCCCCATATGACAGCCTGGCTATGAGGCTCTGCAGTGCAGCCTGGCGCCTGCCACTCTGTTGGGGACTGTCAGCTTGCAGGCCACATTGGCCTCCTTTCTATCCCTTTAATTTTCCCATGCTCTTTACTACCTCAGGGCCTTTGCACATGTGGCTC